AATCTCCTTGATCAGAAAATCAGCAACTCAGTTATAGGATGTTGCAGCAGAGGTTCTCTTATGTCCTGAGTCCTCACTGACCTTGGAGGGTTAGAGCCAAAATATTGGCTGTCTTCTTAGCCCATTTAACTCTCTAAATCTTTGGTCTCCAAATCTCAGTTGTTAAACATCCAGAAGAGAAGACTAATGACGTTACCTTGTAATGGAAGCACTAAGCTTAAAATTACTGTCTTAACTGAATAGCAAACACCTTAGAACATAAAATAGAACCATTATTTTTTAATAAACATGGATATACTAATATTTAAATCCTTATAGAATGTTAACGGATAACAGTTACATTTTTACACAGAATTTTGGAAATCAAAACCATATATAACATTGCAGCATTACAGTCATGACAATTTGTAATATACCTAATTTTTCATTTTGACATAACAACCCTTTAAACTAATCATCTCTAATACATAAGAAGATTTTACCCAATTAGTTGTCCTTATGGGATGTACATCACAAGTTTTTTGTTAAAGGCAGGGGTCTGAATCTGAAGGAAAGTCTTATCACAATAAGCAATCTTTGTTTTACATTTTGGGAACCTGTACATCTGGAATCATGAGTACATTTAATGTACCTTGAGAATAACACTAATGAATTGCCATACACATGTGAAAACCTTTGTTTCTTAATTTAATTTTGTATCCAGAGCATCTTTTATGAGAAAACCTTATTGTAATTTAATTTTTTTGAAAAACATTATCTTTTGAGCAATGACCAAATTATTGGGTGTGTATTCCAGAGACTGTCCAGATCAATGGGGGCTTCTCATTAATAAACAGAGGTTGGCCACCCTCTATTCACCAATTGGAGTCCTGTCCAATAATCTCTCCTCACCCTAAGGAATTGTGGTTAAATGTCTTAATTTTTCAAATGAGCAGTTAGTAGACTAATTTTGATGTCACTTAGACCAGCTGGCAACTCAATTGAAAGCTCTAACTCAATTTAAGTCTCTAACCCAAATTGTATTATGAGCAAATGATAAAAGAAAAATTGTTGAACTCAAAGTAAAGGGGAACAGCTGTTCACAGAATGACAGACAAACACGTAAACAAATACACAGACCAAATGAACAAACATCTTTACAAAATCAGAGTGCACTCAAATATATTTTTGACCAAATTGAATTACAGTAACTCTGTTACAATTTTAGAAGTTTATAATTATAAATAGACTAGTTACATTTTGTTTGTCAATTGGCAGAGCTGTTTCATCAGAAAAATTTGGAAGGAATAGAATCTTCTATCTGTAATGAATACGCATATTTCATATTTTATTCTGTCTTAAGAATACTGGTAACTTTTCACTCAGCTATCTCTGCATACTTTATCAGCTATTTAAACCTTAGATTTCCATTTTTGTCAGTTTCTTCAACAGGCCCCAGGTTGAATCTAGCTAGCCTCATCATTGTCAACTTTTCCAGATCTGGACTCATGATACAGCCAAACAGCATTTTCTAGCAAAACACAAACATATCCTGAACCCCAAATTAGCATTTTTTGCTTTACCTGATTAAATTGTTTTGCTGCTGTTGTACTATCTTTTGTAAAATTTTAAAAAAATTAATAATATATGTTCCCAAGTGAAGTGGAAGGGATTGATTCCCCTTTTCGTTTTTGTAATTTAATTTTCATCATATAGTGAGAAACCTGTATCCTATATTTTGAAAGAGGAAGCCATAACGTAGCCTCTCTTAACCTAATATGACCCATCTGTGAAAACCAAAGCAAACTGAATTAACCTGTCAGAAAGATAATGACAATAACACCAGATAAATTAGCCCAAAAACTGGATAGAGCCAATTAATATTACCAAATAAAGTCTGAAAATCATTTTAGATTGATCTGAACAGTTTGAGGTAAATTGTCTTTGTTGGATAAATTGACCAAATATGAAGTTGACCCAAATATGAAGAAGTTATCATAGTTTGTACCTCTTTGGAGGCCACCACTAGACCTGGAATTATTTAAATGTGTTGTCAAAATCAAGCATTTAGTGTTTAAACCCCACTGCTTTTGGATTGTACTCCAAACTTTTTTATCTATTTGTAAAACACTAAAGCTTTTTTATACCAATTTAATTTAGGACTGTAAAACAGATTATCAACCTTATTAGGAATGAAGAGCACTTTACATAATTTTTAAGAGTATCCCCATTACATGATTTTTTTTTTTTTTTACTAAAGACAAAATCCTTTTATCTTGGTGATGGAAACAGCCTTTTAAATCAATCACCTTGAGGGGAAATGTAGCAGCTTCTCTTTTAGTGTCAATTATAATGGAGAAAGAGAACCACTGTATTTCTGTGAGGCTTTATTCCCTGCCATGCAGATATTTCCTGGGGGGCTCTATTCCCTGCTGAATGGCCTTTTGTCTCCCTCCAGGTCAGCAAGTTTTTGCCTTTGTTACTTAGGATCTGTAGTTGTCACACCCGCCATCCATATTTGTGTCTAAATGCCCTTTAAAATGTTTTTTCTTTAGCTAACCAATTTTATCATCGAACCTAATAGGTGTCAAAAGACCCAAATCCTTGGAGCCCCTTTTTAAAAATTTTGTCAAGGAAAGAATGATGAATTGAGTGATACAAGAGTCTGGGGTGATTTAAACCAAGTTTTGTTCTCTGACTGCACCCTCCACTCCATTGCCTCGGGGCTGGGCGAGCTGCTAGCAGGAGCTCCATTGTCTTAATACCAGGAATGGACTCCCCCGCCCACATTCCTGCATGGCACCCAAGTTCTTCTTGGCGGCTAGTTGTCCCTCCTGGTCTGGGCTCCCACTTGGCTGCAGGATGCCCTGTTTTTGTACGAATTTCAAGCACAGGCACTGTTTTGAGCTGAATGAATTTCTGGTGTGAATAGCGCACATGCCAGTGGTTGATGAAGTGTGCCAAAAGCCATGGCCAGGCCAGGCGCAAGGCACTGCTGGGAAATCGCAGCTAGGTCTCCCTAGGACTAGAGCACAGGCTCTCCCTGAACTGGGTTTGCACCTCTCCCTCTGGCGGCTCCGCTGCATCACTCAGAACCAGCCATGTGCAATTTAAAACAAATTTTTCCTTTTTCATCTGACTGAGCAAAGCTGGAGGGTTCAAGCTCTATTGGTGGCACCATTGTTCTGCCCTCCTTGTCCTGCTTGGGCTAAAAACTTGACTTTAAAGTACAGTTCTCAGCTGAATCCTTTGTGGTTATAAAACTCCTTCTAACCACAATCCAGAAAAGAAAAGTAAATACAAGAACCAAGAAAACAACAAACATTTTTATATACATCTATAAACATCTTGAGACACTGCTTGCCCCAATTTTAACTACTAATACATCAATATACTTTTCTTTCTCCTTTTTGGCTTCTCTTAAGCCTATATTTCTCTTTAAGCTCATTTATCTCTCTGGCTTTAGTGAACCCACTTCTGGCCGTAGTAAACCCATTTCTAGCCCTAATGAACCCGCTTCTGGCCCTGATGAGCCTCCATCCCCACACTTTACACCTGATGTGCCAATATCGCTTACAGGTCTCTGCTGAACACCGGCTCTCACCAGTGCTCTTCTCTACCCTGTTGTATGCACTCCGGAAGCGTACCCACAACCCACTTATTCACTCTCTTCGGTGTCCTGTTCAGGCACCGAATGTAGGGAACTCATTGATCTCTTCGTGTACCCCCGGGAGGAATGGTAGCAGGTATAAGAAAAATAGACCAGAGACAAGAGCTGGGTCAGGTGGAGGCAACCTCTTGCCTGATGGGTAAGAGGACCTGCACAACAATAGTAAGGGCGTTTATTTATACTCTTGTAAAGTTAGTATCGTTAGAGGCAAGGCTGCCTAGCGACTAACAACTGAATTGCCTGGGCAGGAGGATTTTCTCAATGCTGAGGTAGCTTGACTGCTTGAGGCACTCTGGGTCTGTCCTGCCCTCACGCATAGGACCAATTTCCAGCTTCAGATGCTTGCAACATAATTTCCCAGTTGGTGTTTTTGCTGCTTCCTTATCAAACTGGGAATGCCAGTTTGGGACAGAGTGTAAAATTATTCACCTACCTCATCTCTTGGAAAACTCTCATTCCATGCTTGGGCAAAGAATATCTTTATTCTGGGAAAATAACTATATACTAGAGAGTTCTGGGTGAGCCCAAGAAAGAATGTCTTGGGTCCATTTTAGCCCAAGTGTAGTGGCTGTGATGAATTTATAGTCTTATTTTTATTTTTTTGTTTTTTGAGGCAAAGTGTTGGTGTGAGTTCAGACTGGCCTTGAACTTATTTACCTCATTTACTCATCCAGCCAGCCAGCATTTTTTGAGTGCCTTCATGTGTCAGGTATGGGCTCACAAAGTGGAGTTAGATCCTACTTGTTCCCCTCATAGCTTAGTGTCCAGTGGAGCTGGCGATGTTCGTTTCTCCTCATGTGCTTGCGGCTGAAGTTCAGATTCACTGCAGGTGAGGGATGCAGAGTGGATTTGAACCTAGGTTGGACTGACGGTGGAACATTCCCAGGTGTGTATACAAACATTGCCTTTTTTTCTTAGGCAGTAACCACAGTCAGCAAGCTCATAGGAGCTCCCACTGTGAGCAAAGCTCTGTGCAGGAATGTTAGGATTTCACAGAGCTGCCTAGCAAGTGGTCTCTGAACTCGGACCCACTTTCTGGGCACTCCCTGGGCCCTGTATGCCCACTGTGGTCCCATCTACAAAAGAATAAGCCGGGTGACCAGAGCTTATGGACAGATCTTGTCACTTGTTCACGGTGCCAGGCAAAGTACCACATGTTTTAGAGCTATAGTCTCCTCAACTCCAAATGAAAATGTGGCATGAATCCTGGTCCTCACCGCACTTGGTAATGAGCACACCAAAGCTGCTAGAGTGGGTGGCATTACTGGCTCTCCGTATGCCTTAACCAGGAGTAATCCTTACCCTAAAGCTTGAAGGAAAATTTTGTGGATCCAAATGTTTTTCTCCTTAGGACTGTGAGGGCCTTATTGTCCGCTCGGCCACCAAGGTCACCGCTGATGTCATCAATGCAGCAGAGAAGCTCCTGGTGGTGGGAAGAGCTGGCACAGGTGTCGATAACGTGGATCTTGAGGCTGCAACAAGGAAAGGCATCCTGGTCATGAAGTAAGTCATGGAGGCTGAGGGGTACATGTGAAGACCACATGGATAGAGAGGGAAAATTTGGTTTAGAGAAGTGAGTTAGGTGGAAGAACTTCCAGAAGGGTTCCCTGAGTCCCTAGGGATGGTCACTCTTACAACTCAGGTGTTCCCAAAGTTGCTGGGATTAAGACTGGAATCTCGGTAAGTTCCACAAATCCACCCTTATATAGGGCTTGCACCTTTATAGGCTGGCTCGGGAATCAGAGAACTTAGTTTATCTGCCTTTTTCAAGCCCTCCCCCTCCACTGTTCTATTTGTGACTGGTTTTATTAGCTCTGCTCTACACTATCCTTCTACCTTCTACCAATCCACAAACCTTCTAAGGGGTTGACTACATCCTTTCTCTTCCTCACAACCCTGTACCTTCTAGAGCAAAGACCTCATTTTGTCTTGCAGCATTCCAGGCCCAGAATTAAGCAGGGTCCCCTTAAAAGTGCATTGGCAGAAACCCAGGGTCAAATGGTCATTGTAAGCATACCAGTGCTGCACTGTACCTGTTCAGGCACTTAGAAGGTGTGCAGAGTCATCTCTGTTCTCCTGTATGACCCCAAGCCCTTTTTCTTCCCTTGGGAACCTCACTGTCCCTTCCCCCACTTTCCATTTTGACTGAACATCTGACTGAGGTCAACATCGGAGGGTAGAAATGTTAAAGGATAACTCAATCTGCTCTCTTGCCCTGGACCCAAAGACAGTCAACCCCAGTCCTCACTTCTACCTCCCCCCCACTGCAGTCTCTTTGCTCACAGAGAATGGGACCTGGTGGTCTTGCAGAAAGACAGGCTTTGGGAGTCCTTTCAGCACCTATATGATCACATGAGTTTTCTTTTCTGTAAACCTCATTTATAGGGATCAAAGATTCCAGTAAAGGAAGGGTGGTAAATGTGTGTCAAATTCTTTCAAAAACATAAAAAGCCTTTAAGAAAAGAAAAAGGTTGTGTTGCAGCCTCTGTTCTCCTTTCTTTAAGATGAGCAGAGTCAGTGCTCCCCTTTGTGTCAGAGTAAAGAGGTTTCCTCACTTCAGAACTTGAGTAGAAGAAGCCAAACAGGTAGTGATAGAAATGTTAGCTTTGCTACTAACACAAGCCAGGTTGGGTACCTTGATGGTGTCCGGTGGATGATATCTGACTTCTGAATTAGGTAGACTGGTTCAGCCTTCCTGACTCACCCTCAACAGGATGAGGCAGCAAGGAATTGGGATTTCTGTAGGCAGACTGGTCCTGAAATGAGGAGAGAAGAAAGGGCTGAGCCACACAAATATCTCCCAATCATATGAGACACTCCTCTGCCTTAGGGGAAGTGAGAAGGTGTGTTTCTCTGATGGTGTCCTTCCACATGGGAAGAGAAGGCCAGGGCAAGGCAGTTTCCTTCCAGCCCTGGGACGTAGGGTGGGACAGTGGAATACTGGGTCTGGGCCGACTGACTGATGTTCCATCTTTCCTTTGGTCTTTAGCACCCCCAATGGGAACAGCCTCAGTGCTGCAGAGCTCACCTGTGGGATGATCATGTGTCTAGCCAGGTAAGTACCCGGCCTCTCAGCAGAACCAAGCTCCCTGATGTGTCAGTTATTAGGACTTGCCAAGCAAAATGATCCTGGGGAACTTAGAAATATTTCATTCAGTGATTTGCAGACCACTGAGAACCTTTGACACTGTCGGCCCTCTACTTAGCCTTCATTACTAAAGAGGCTTTGGGTCACTAGGGAGTGCACATAAGGAGAGGGAGGATGCAAATCTATTGCTCATTATTTAGGATCAGGCCAATTGAAAGAGTGTGCTCGATGCACTCTTCCTTCTTTCTCTTTCCAAACTTGCCCTGTCAACATCGGCAGTGCTATGCTTTCTCCAGCCACAAACTCTTGCTCATGTTCTCCATACTGTGCTGCCTAGAGCACCCTTCCCCATCTTTGTCTAGCTACTTCTGCTTGTTTTTGATTCAGCTCCAGTGTTATTTCATCTAAGAAGCTCTGTCTGGTTTTCCTAACTGGGCTGTGTTCCTTGCAGAGTCCTATGGCCCATAAGCCTTACCTAAATCTGGATTGTAATAGCATTGGAATAAACACCTGGTGTCTGCCTACCTGTGGATTTATAACACAGTAGAACTCAAGTGGCTAAGTTTCTTGCTCTTCCAGCAGGGATTGTAGGGGTACCTCTTGAAAAGAGGAGATGGTCTGGTGACTAAATTGGTGTGACATATAATATATAATACTCCTATTACGTTGTGAAGTCTTTTAGCAAAATGAGGTACTTCCACTGCATGGAATCATATTTCTGTGACAAAGAAGAAGAACAAGCCTCCCAAAAAACAAGGGAGGAAGCTGTTCCAAGTCCTTTAGAAGATTCTTGGATCCTTAAACCAGGAGGTCAAAGTGGCCAGTACTTCTTACTTTTCTGCTTAGGCTGGAAACTTCTGGGACCAAAAAATTCCCATTTTCCTACCTCAGGACCTATTCTCCCTTTTCTAGGGGAAGGATCCAAAGAGTAAACCTATGCTCTAACCCCTAGCCAAGATTCCTAAGAAGGATGGGGAAAGGGATGGGCAGGAGCAGTTTAAAGAGCAGAATGATCTCAGCCTAAGAGAGTCTTCAAGCTAGCCCAGAACACATCAGGGCTGAGTGTCCCTCTCCTTGGAGAAATATTAAAGCCTGTTTTATTTGCACTATTAAGTTCAATGATCTCTCTTTCTGTCCCCACCTCCCTATCTTTATTTTTGAGTGAGGGAGGGATCTTTGTGCTGCTTTCTTTTTTTTTTTTTTCCGGTACCAGGAATCGAACTCACGACTTTGCATTTGCCAGGCAGGTGCTCTGCCTCTGAGCTAAACCCCCAGCCCCTGTGCCGCTTTCTATTTAATTAATTCCCTTACTTTTTTTCCTGGAGATAGAAGGAAGGGATTTCAAGCCAAGAGTAATTTTCCTCCTATTCCAGGATCACTTTACTTAAAGAAGTAGGCACAGTACTATAATTTAAAGGAGGTTTCTCCATGCCAGCCACTCATCCATGACCTCCCTCATCTAAGATGCCTGAAAACTAAGAAGCAGGTACCTCCTTAAGAAGGGACTACTGAGGGGCTGGGGATTTAGCTCAGCAGCAAAGCGCCTGCCTGGCAAGTGCAAGGTCGTGAGTTCGGTTCCCGGTACCGGAGAAAAACAAAAAAAAAAAAAAAAAAGAAGAAGAAGGGACTACTGTATTCCCGTTATTGCTGGCAGTCATGTGAGCCATTCAGCCCCTTCCATGCCATTAGAAGTTTTCAATAAATCAGTGAACCTAATCGTTTCTTCCAGAGTCTAAAATAGAGAAGATGCTCCTTACACTTTGTTTCTCATCTCTTTTTTGCCTCCAGAGATACCTGTGAGTCATGTCCATATAACATGTCTACCTTTTGACCTGTAACTTCCCCTTAATTTCAACTTCTGTCCTCCATAGAAAACATGGAGATTCAGACCTCCACATAGATCAGTAGGAGGAAATAAGCTGTGGGGTGTGTGGCAAGTACAGGGGATTGGTGGTGGAACAGGAAGGTAATGTAGATGCTGGAAGTGTTGGGACAGGACAGAGTGGAAGGTCTGTACTGTGGTGCCTACATGCCCCAGACTGGGCCAAAACCTTTGAGGCTTGTCTTGTGTTTTCTCATTGCTGAGACAAAATATCTGACACCCAAATTAAAGAGGGAAAGCTTTATTTAGCTCAGTTTGTGAGGTTACAGTCCATACTTGGTTTGCTCCAAGGCACAGTGCCACATGGCAGAGGGCAACTGTTCATGGTGGCAGAAGACAGTGAAAGCAACAAGAGCAGAAAGGGAGGAGCAGGTGGAAAGAACCTCTTTCCTTTCCTCATAGTATATGCCAACTACGTGCCCCAAGGCGGGTGTAGCACTCACGCCTATAATTCCACCATTGGACTATGGATCAATCAAAAACTCTAGAAGCCCACCCCATGACTGCATGAGGCTTTGAGGGGACATCTAGACACAAACCATAACAGGGCTTAAAAAACTGTCAAGGAAGAACAAGCAATCAGGAGTCTTCATGATAATAATAGACGATATCAAAAGTTGTGGTCCTGACCAGATAGGAAAATGAAGATAACTCCTTGAACTTTTGGATAGAACATTTGATGTCATCAGAGTCCCCTGTGTCCTGTTCATTTAGCCATGCAAACTCTGGGAGATTGGCCATAGTTTGGAGGAGAGAACTCAGCTAGTCATTTTCATCATATCTCTTTTTTTTTTTTTTTTTTTTTTTTGGTTTTTCTCTGGTACCAGGAACCGAACTCACGACCTTGTGCTTGCCAGGCAGGCGCTTTGCCGCTGAGCTAAATCCCCAGCCCCCTGAGCTAAATCCCCAGCCCCCATTTTCATCATATCTCAGTGGCTGAGCTGGATCAGGATTTCTTCCCAGACTTCTCACTAAAGGCAAAGTTCCCAGGGTTCCAAAATCAGCTCATCGCAAGTGTTTCCTTCTCCCACCCTTTCTTTCCCCCTTGAACTGATGGACCCATGCTGAGCTTGATGTCTGGGAAAATGGCCAGGGCAGGTGGCTGTGCAGATCTGTCGTTGTACCTCCTTCCTCCTTCCTGGGCTGGTGGGGGCCTGAGTGGTCCTGCTGAACCTGTTTCTGTCATTACAGGCAGATTCCCCAAGCGACAGCTTCAATGAAGGCTGGCAAATGGGAGCGGAAGAAGGTGAGCAGCAGCTTTGCCTTACCCTGCCTGCGAGCAGTGCCTGAGTCCGCACTTGGTGCTGACTTTGACCTCTTCTTGCCTTTTGCCTGTCTTGCTGCAGTTCATGGGAACAGAACTGAATGGAAAGACGCTGGGGATTCTTGGCCTGGGCAGAATTGGAAGAGAGGTGGCCATCCGGATGCAGTCCTTTGGGATGAAGGTAGGAGGTCACTGGACCCCTTGGATTTGGGACTTTCTGTCACCATTTTGGAAATGGTGACTGGTCTAGGGAGACGCCAAAACTTTTGTTCTAGTTAGGTCTTTAGAGCCCTTTACTAAATAAGCAGCAAAACCATGGAGAAAGAGGATGCTGACCTGCTGATTGGGATACTTGAACTGAAAAGCTAGGAATACATGGGCGTGGTCCTTCAGCTCTCCAATGAATTATACCGCTGAGTGCCTCCTAATGGAGAGATAGACAAAAACAGAGAAGAAAGGGGTGTTTGTTTTGTTTTGCTTTGGTTTTTTGAGACAGGTTGTCCCTGTGTAGTCCAGGCTGGCCTTGAATTCGATGCCAGGTTGAGCTCAAACTGGTGATCTTCCTGCCTCAGTCTCCTGAATGCTGGGATTGTAGGCATGTGTCTCCACACAGGTCCTGAGGAGGGTTCTTGTCTCCATCTTATCCTTCCCCATCTTGATATGAGGTTCTCCTGGTTCTGCTGTGTCTGTTCTCCTGTGATATTTTAGGAACCAGCAGCAAATTTACAGCTTTACAATAAAGGCACTGTCTTTCTCTCCTTCCCATTTCCCTCCATGTTTCAGAAGAGATCTAAACGTGCTTGCATGCATGCTGTGATAATAATTATGGGGCCCATGGTAGCCAGAAGGCCTCATACCTATCTGACAGCTGACCCCTGCCTCTTCCCACCTTAAGAATTCAGGAGGCTTCTGACTGAGGGAGGGTTGGGATCAATAGCAGTGCCACCCTCAGGCCAATCCAGGGGACAGTACACACTAGAAGGCTAGTCACCTGCAGATCTGCGCATAGAGGCCAGAGAAAGGGAGCAGCCTACCATGCTGGCAGACACCTCCGTGAACACAATGGTTGTTAAGGGAGTTACAGGGATTATGGGTCAAACCAGGAAACCCTTAGTTAAACATTAAAGGAAATTGTTTTGACAATAATCAGATCATCCTAGGTCTAGAAAATTTTGCAAAGAGCTGCTGTGGAATTTTACCTTTCTCCCTTTATATTGTTGTTGTTCTTTTTCTTCTCCTTCCTCTTCCTCCTCTTCCCCTTCCTTCTTCTTCTTTTCCTGTTCTTCTCATTTCCTTCTCCTCCTCTTCTTTTTTTTTGTGGTACTGGGGATTGAATCCATGGCCTTCACACTGAGCTACATCCCTAGCCCATGTTTTTCTTTTTCTTTTGAAACAGCATCTCACTAAGATGTCCAGACTGACCTTGAACTTCCAATCTTCCTGCCTCAGCTTCCCAGAATGCTAAGATTGAAGACATGTGCCTCCACACCCTGCTCTTCCTCACTCTCTTCCCATTATTTCCATCCCTCTTACTTGCTTAGAATTTGAAAGAATGTTATAGGTTGATCGTTAATTTTATGTTGATGCTCAGAATTTGTAAATATGTCTCTAAGGTCTCATGGTGAATGGATGGTAGACTAGAACCTGGACATCAACCCATAACCACAGTGAACGTTTCCTCTCCCTGCTGCCCCCACAGATATGTTTTCTGAGCCTTAGCATGTATTTATCTAGATGCTGGAGTGGGGTGGCGTAGCCCAACAGGAGCCACTGATCATGACAACAAACCACAGCCCTCTGCTCAAGGGTGGAAGGGTGCCATGAACTACCAAAAGCATTTTCTACTCTTTCCTCTTTTGTGAGAATCAAGGTCAAAGTTGAATCTGATTTTCTAAAAGCAGAAGTCAGTGCTTAAGTGACACTAAGAGCACATGAAGCCAACCTGGTGATCATGTCACTGATCGTATAGTGACTTGGGTATAGATGGTGAGGCCAGCAGCCATTCCATTATTCCCACTTCCCTTTCGCTGGCACCACCAAACACCAGCTTCCTCTAGCTTGAGATCATTCATTTCAAGGAAACCTTAGAAGTACCTGAGTCTCATCAAAGAGCCCCACCTCATTTCCTGAATAATAGCAGAAATAAGGAAGGTCTCTGTTCAACTTGTACCTCTGCATTGCTCACTCACTACCCTGGGCTGTGTCTGGGAGGTGTGGAACCTTGAACATCAGCATCAGGCAGTTGATACCTCTCAGTCATGAATTCAATCAGAGATGTCTAGAGCCTGCTCACTGCAGTGTTACCCTGTGTTTCTGGGCTCATTGTCAAGGATATGCCTGAACATCATATTTCCACCACAGCCTTGTGGGGCATTGCCTTCCCTTGCAGTTTCTGTCTCTGGAGGGTTATTCTCAGTTGGCTTAACTTTCAAATTACACTCTTCACATTCTGTAAACTCCTGAAACGTGCTTTGGATGTCTCCCTCGCAGTGCCTCCCGTGCTGCCTGGGCCTGTCCCTCTGTAGTATCCCAAGTGGCTGCTCTTTGTGCTCAGTGCTTACCTTGACCCAGCTCCCAAATACTGGTCTGGGTCCTTACGAGTTTTGTCTTAGGGCAGAGAGATCCCAACCTGTATTACTCAAACTTTTGTCCAGTTTGTGGTCTTCCTGCTCCTAGAGTTCTGGTATTACGGGTGTGTGCCACCATGCCCTGCCTATAGGAATGTTAGTGATCAAGCTGTAAAATACTTAGTTTATAGTTATCCAGACAGAAAACTGCAATCAGTGTTTATTAAACATGGGTTATTTCAAACTAGCCTTATTCATCTGGAAACTTATTAAACTGGTAGAACATGGAAATTCCCAGATATCATTTATCTGGGCTACTTAAATTGTATTTTAATCATGTAATAAATAAATGCATTTCTCTACAAGTTAAAACATAGATAAGGGTCTCCTTTGTTACCTTCCAAATCCAGTGTTCTCATAGTGACACCAGTTTGGCATGTATCATCCCAGACTGTTTCCGGTGCATTTCTATAAAGTGCACATAGTTCTATGCCTGTGAGTGGTTCCATGCCTATGGAGAGCACAGTACTCTTTGTGGTGCTGAGATAAAAATGTATGTCTTAGAATAACTCGAACTACCGTTCTTTCAGATTTTTGTGTGATGTTATCTTGAGTGGATAAATTGCTTTGTATTTGGCCATTCCCCTAATAATGAATATGTATGTTGGTTGTGAATAGACTTCAGCAGGACTTCTTTAAGCCCCTGGGCTTGATGCTAGTGCTCTTAGAGGGACTGGTAGAGAGTAGAAAAATGGGCTCTCAGCCTGGAGGGAGATTGTCCATGACAGTGCAGGGTTGTGCCTCCTCTGTCATTCTAATCAGCAGCCTGGGCCATGTGACGTTTGCTAGTGGATGAAGCTAGAGGCTGTAGTTAATACTTAAGAGTACACAATCAAGCCTGGCTTGGGGTACACAACTATAATTCTAGCAAAGGCTAAAGCAACTGGGCCAGTCTGGACAATTTAGTGGCATAGCAAGACATAGTCTCAAAATTTAAAAAACTAAAAAAGGCTGGAGAGGTAGCTCTGCAGAAGCCCTGGGTTCAATTCCTTGTACTGCAAGAAAAAAAGGAAAGAAAAAAAAAAAAAAGAAAAAAAGGAATTCAGAATCAGGTCCTAACAGACATAGGAAGGCTGGAATGATTGGATATACTCAAAAGAAGTTTAGCTAGGATACATTTCAGTGTTTAGCATGCAGGTCCAAAATGCAAATTTTGTAGGTAGGAGCATTTGCAAAAAGTTTTTCTGGGAGAGGAGAGCTTTGGTTGACAAAAGAGCAGTACAAATTCCTAGATTCATGGCTGGTGGAAAAGATAGCGACTTCTTGGCAACACTGAAGAACTACGGGCCAGGTGTGTTGGTAAATGCTTATGATCCCAGCTATTTGGAGGCTGAGGCAAAAGGACTGCAAGTATCAGGCCAGCCTGGGCAACTTACTGACACACTACCTCTAAATAAACAAAAAAAATAAGAGCTGGGCTTGTAGCTTAGTAGTGGAGCACCTGTCCAGCATGTGTGAGGCCTTGGCACATCCAGTGTATTCAGTGCCCTATACAGACAAAAGACTGTGCCTTCTAGAGCAAGGAAAGTGATGTTCTTCCCCCTCTCTGCTGGCCAGCCTGTAGCTTGCTGGTGGCCTGAGTCATACAGTTCTTATACTACTTGATTTTTGCTTGGAACTTGTTCTGAATAGCGTTACTGAATAATGGATTGAAACTGCAGAGACTTAACTCCTTCCTGCTGGTTTGACTCTTAGACTGGGTTACAGGCCCAAGCCACTTGGGAGCTGAGCCTCGTATTCTCTTATCAAAGCTTTCCCTGAAGGTTCCTGATCACCATCTCTGAACAGTTTCTCTGTGGTCACTGTGGTGGACTTAACTAAAGCCCAAAGGGCTGGACCTTGAACCTGATTCTTTCAGGTTCAGCTAATGTTTACTGAGGTCTACTGTGCTAGTTTCTGTGCCACAGTGACCCTGTTGTCCCAGCCTTGCACATAAGGAAACTGAGACCCCAGAACATCATATAATAAACTCAAGATGATATGGCTGTGGAGCGTGGGATGTAGCTAAGTGGTAGAGCACTTGCTTAGAATGCCAAGAATTTGATTCCTAGTGCTCGAGTGCGCATGCACACACATACACAAAGACACACATAGACCTGTGATTAGTAAGTGGAACTCCGTGCAGTCTGAGTGTGTTGCCTTCCAGCCTGATGCACTTTGCCCAGTGCTACCAATGTTTGCATTCATGATCCACATGAGTTAAACAGTTCCTGTGCCAGGTTACTATGCTCAGCCATTCCAAAGTTGGAAGCTCTTATCCTAGCCTGGTACTAGACTTCTTCCTGCCATAGAGTACTGATTTTCAAACTTCCCAGGGCCTCAGATTCTGGAAGGGTACCATGGTTACACAGGTGGAGGTGAGGAGGGGCATGGGAAGGCATTCAATGCTTGACTTTGGCCCTTCACCTCTATGGCTTTGAGTGCATCTTTTTTGTTTGTTTGGTTTTGTATTTTTGCAGTACTGGGGATTGAATGCAAGGAATCCCCCAGCCCTTTAAATTTTTTAATTAATTAATTAATTAGTGTCTTTGAGCCAGGGTCTCCGTATGTAGCTTATTCTGTCTTGACTTTACAATCCTCCTGCCTCAGCTTTCCAAGTAGCTGGGATTATAGGTGTGTGCCACTACGTCCAGCTTTAATTTTTACTTTATTTTTAAATATTTTTTTTTCAGCACCGGGGAGACAGTCTCACCAAGTCACTAAGTTATCCAGGATGCCTTTGCATTTGCCATCTTTCTGCCTCGACTTCTTGAGTGTTGGGATTACAGACACGCACCACCATGCCTAGGTGGATCCATTTTTAATATTAGGTTTCTGCAGAGGATGTTGCAGCTGTAGGCAGATTTTAAATACTAAGCCAGAAACCTTGGCCACAGTGTGGAAAAAGAGTGACTATTCTGGTTCTCCACCGAAGCCTCTGCCTTCAGGCCTCTGCTCTCTGCCCTTATCTGTTCCTCAGCAACCTGTTCCCCACCACCCCAGACACCTGCTGACATAGAAGGGGTCCCGGGCCAGGCTTGGGCTGCAGGATGCTTCCTTCCGCCCCCTCCAGGCCAAGTCCTGGCCCCTGAGAGTGCAGTAGCAACAGAGTGCTGGGTGCTGACGACTCAGTCAGCATGGCCAGGCCTCTCTGTCCTCTTCCTCTCTCATTCCACACAAGAATATACCTCTGTGGTATGGTTGATACACTGTGTCAACTTGGGGAGTCTAGAGGTTTGGCTAAGTGACTCAGCAATTCTGCATCTTGGGGTGAAAAAGACATGCCCTTACCCTTCTGGGATGTTGGTCATTGTGTCTTCATTGAGAAGTTTAGTAGGTGAAATATGTGATTCAGCAGGGAGCCAGGGTGCTTACTTGGTATTCATCCTAAGCCTGTGCAAGAGGAGGGCGGAGATTATGTGAGTGCTGCACGCCCCCTGCGTGGGGGCAGTCTGCTTACGGTATAAGGGAGAGGAAGAGGCTGCTTGCCACCACTGCTCCCTTTTTGCTCTTACTGCTTTTGCTATCTTCCCCCACCATGAGCTGTTGCCCTCTGCCATGGGCCACTCTGCCTTAGAGCCAGCCAAGTATGGACTGAAACCTCCACAAACTGTGAGCTCAATGAACCTTTCCTTAATTTTGGGCATTGGGTATTTTGTCTCAGCAATGAGAGAAAAAGTAACCGAGACAATCTGGATCTGAGAAAGTGGGATCATTGTTGCCGTCGGCTTCGGTCCAGTACACAAAGACAACTTGTCAGGCTTACGGAAGGGATCCTGGCTCCTATCCTGGCCATTTCTCCCTCCTCACCAACATGAGCAGGGAATGGCGGTGTCTGAAAAAGACCCCAGTGCTTGGGGGAGCTGATGGTCCTTAACGGGCAAGAAAGACAGCCTCTTTCCCCTAACCCTCTGCCAGTGGTTGTTGTGGGGTCACTTGGCTTTGCTTATTCTGACAGGCTAATGGTGAGAAGTGTGATCCAGAACTTCAGTCATAACCATTTTTATTTTTTTCCCCAGAAGTTCTGCATCTGAAATGGAAGTCCTATTTTACATTATATTCTAAAATAATGTAGTTCTTCTAATTTCAAGAATAATTCACAGTATGGTAGAAATCTTAAACACTGAAGGAAATCACAAGGAGAAATAATGCCTCTGTTCAAGAGATAACCACTGTTCAAGTTTTCTGCTGCATTTTCTGTTTCCTTTAATCCTGAGTTTGTTTTGAGTAAACTGGGTTAGTTCTCCTGAGGGTTAAGCAGAATTTTTTTTCAAGTGACTGTAATCATTGAATGTTAGACCAGGGGTGACTGAAGTCATTCACCCTGCTCCCATATTCAGGGTGAGGATGGGGCCTGACATGGGCCTTGACACACAGTTGGCAGCAGCTGGAGCAGGACTTCTGCTGCGCAGTGCATTCTGTATGCTGTGGGACCCCAGCTGTCAGCTGCCTTGCCTTCCTGAGGACATGGATGGGATGCCTTTGAGAGTCTTAGGGCTCCTGTACCCCTGTCTTTCCCCACAATCAAGGTTGCCAACAAGGGCTGATCTCCTAGGGAGAGCCCTATGAAGCCCTCCTGGGTAGATGAGGCGGGAAGCTGACAGATCTTTGCTGTTGCAAGAGGTGGACCTTTGTGCCTGGATGTTGACTGCCTGGCTGCTTGTCCTGGCTTGCTGACCCTGAGGCACAATTCCTGTTGAGGCTGGTTTGAGGGCTGTCCAAGACTGTGCTGGGTATAAGAGACATGTTTGCAACTCCTGTACCACTGCTTTCTCACACAGGGCTGTGGCCTCCCTGAGCCTCCTCTGAGGGTTCAGGTTTGGGGAGAGTGGCTTGTCTGGGTTCCCTGTGCTGCCTGTGGGACTGTACTGTCTTCTCATAGCAGTCAATGTACCCTCTGTTGCTGCTCCCCAGGTCCCCATGCTGACGCATCCCCTTTACCCTTACCCCACCTCTGTTCTTTTGTAGTCCAGCTGCCAGCCTATCTGGCAGGTGGGCACCAGGAGCCCAGCCTCTGGAGCAGAATACCTGCCTTGTATTCTGTGCCAGCTCTATGACCTCTCTGCCTCAAGGTCTCCTTGGTAAAATGGGGAAATAAGGTTACCTAAAACCATCAGGCATGAAGAGGTAGAAGTACTTGACACATAATAAATGCTAAATAAATATTTGTCTTTATTAGCTATGAACGTAAAGTCCTTTCTTTTGTCTGACCTTTCCTCTTCTCATCACTGATATTTGATGACCTTGTGTCACTTTCACCAGCCTGTTGTTGTTTACTCCCTAGAGTTTCTTGCCTGCTTCTGTCTTTTGTAAGTCAACCTCCCTGCCTTCCCAGAGACCCGAGGAAGTGTCCCTTATTTGCAGACCCCACATCTTCCCTGGCCAGCCCAGACCAATGTTCTATCTTGGTGCTTCCTCAGGCCTAGTGTCTTATGTCTCACCCTCATCCCCTGGACAGGTGCTTGTTCCACACTCCAATCAAACCTGCCCTGTTACAAAGATCTGCCATTGCCTTTTATATCTCTGTGTAATTTTAGACAATAAGCTATGCACATTAGTCGATAAATGCAGGTTATTCCAGGAATAGAGAGACATTTTAGGCCTCATTCAGAGAAATTTTAAAGAGAACTGTACCCTCTGCTGGTGTGTCAGCCCTTGTGTCTCATCCCCAGTGATGCATCCTTGTCTCATTCTTGATCCTGGGTGCACCACCAAAGCCTCCTCCATCATTTCTTCTTCCCTCTGTCTAAATACTTAGTGTACTATCTACTTCCTAGATCTTGGCCCCCCAGCTGTGGCTGCTCTCTTGCATCCATTTCCTCGTGGCACCCTACAATGATGTCACTGCTCCCCACGTGATTGTCCTCCCTCACTTAGTGCTCCTGTCTTAGAGCTTTCAAGCTCCACCTTGTCCAACCGTGCATGGTGTGCTCTTGCATCTAATTGTAGCTGGAACGCTGAGGCAGTGTTGCCTGGCTGTGCCCATTCCTAACTGTGCAAGCTGTGCTTCCCTCAGCTCTAAAGCAGGCAAAAGAGCAGCAGTAAGCTCACTGGATTGTGAGAACTAAATTGGAGGATCAAATTAAGCTTAGCATGGTATTTAGAATGTAGTGCTTGATAAATGGTTGCTGTTGTTAATAATGATGCTGATAGCTCATAATAATACTTTTTTTTCTCATGTCTGATCAGACTATAGGGTATGACCCCATCATTTCTTCAGAAGTATCAGCTTCTTTTGGGGTCCAGCAGCTGCCCCTGGATGAGATCTGGCCTCTCTGTGATTTCATTACTGTACACACGCCTCTCCTGCCCTCCACCACAGGTAGTGTGCCCTATTGTACGGGTTGGTCACCGAGGCCACAGATCAGACAGGAAGTGGACCCTCTGTCTAGGCCTTCTTTAGACACTGCTGAGCAGGTCTGGGGAGAGGCTTTGTCTGTGCCTCTGCATTAAATGGCACACTGGGGATAGGAAAATTCCAAGAAAGAATCTTCATCTGGGCTGGTCAGGGGAAAAGCAGGGCCCCAAACAGACGGTCCTCCATGGGGCCACTAGGAAGAAAGGGAGGAAAAGAGGGAGGGAGGGAGGCAGGGAGGAAGATGGGTTAACTCCCAGTAGGTGCGGGCAGGCAGGAAACTACACTGACCTCATGGAAAGCTCGGATAGAAAGACGCATGTTCATAGTTAATGAAGACATTTATTTCGCACTCACTCTGTGTAAGATGCTTTCATATAACTCATAGGTACCGTTACTCGGTACCCTTATCACCGGAGCTTTTGATGCCTATTCAAACAGTGGCCCATGTGGATGCTTTTCCGAGCCCCTGCAAGGCTTTCTGATTCTTTCAGGCCCACTTGAAGCATTCCCACTCCAGAATGTCTAGAATGTTTCTAAACTAAGTTTACCCCGGATCCAGAACCGGGAACTGCCTCTGAGAGTCTGGGAAGGAAGGTGTTAGAACAGAGAGACAGATGTCCAGCAGGTAGAGGCTTCCTTCAGGGAGGAGCTGGTTCAAAGGAAAGCAGGGCCTCTGGAGCCAGTGCCCATATGGGACCCAGGCATCACTGCAGCTAGCAGCTCCTCTCTTCTTCCCAGGTTTGCTGAATGAAAGCACTTTCGCCCAGTGCAAGAAAGGTGTGCGTGTGGTCAACTGTGCCCGAGGAGGGATTGTGGACGAAGGTGCCCTGCTACGTGCCCTGCAGTCGGGTCAGTGTGCTGGAGCCGCACTGGATGTGTTCACAGAGGTAAGTGCCTGCTGCCCAGTGTGGGGTATGGGGGAAAGACAGAGATGAGGGCAGAGGGAAGCCCAGCATTTTGGTGTCTCCAGCATCAATGCAAAGCAAGTAAACTGTTGCTAAAACTCTGTGAGGTCTGAGGAGCTTTCGCAGAGCTTGGTACAGAGGCACATGATGTCTGCTGCAAAGTCAGATGTTTAGGCCGGGCATGGTGGCTCATGCCCATAATCCCAGCACTGGGGAGGCTGAGGCAGGAGGATTGCTATGAGTTCCAGGCCAGCCTGGGCTACATAGTGAGTTCAAGGCTAGTCTGAACTGCTTAGCAAGACCCTGTCTCAAACACAACAAAACAAACTTCAGATGTTTAAATAGGACTCTAATCCTGGTCTTGGACCTCTGAGACTATTGTCATGTTGATAACTTGGAGATGATCGAGTGGCACATGAGTGAGATTAAAGATTTGGTACAGGGAGAGAGAGGAGTTTAGTGCATTGTTACGGGTCTCTGATTTAAGGACAGTTCCACAGCTAAGAAGACAGCTCATCCAGCATCCACTGGCATTCTTCCTGTAGAGACAAAAGCTAGAGGATACTGCAGTTTTCCCTTGGGGTCCACAGGTTGGGCTGCTTTCCCAGCAAGAATGGAAGATCAACCATATAGCAGATGACACACATAAGAGAGAGTACTTCTACTTGAGTACCCTTGGTCTGTTTCCTCAAAAGACCTTATCCCAGGCAGGATGATAGTATACCCCTGTGAGTGCAGTTACGTGGGAGGACCATGAGTTCAAGACCAGCCTGAGCACTGTAGTGAGATCCTATCTCAACATAAAAATAAAAAGACTGGGGATATAGAGCACCCTTGGGTTCAATCCCCAGTACTACCAAACAAACAAACAAACAAATAAGTATGCTGCTCCAGCATCAGGGTTCCTCACTGTGATTTAGGAAAAAGAGCATGGACTTTGGAGACTGCACTTCTGGTACATAGATTGCTGGCTTTGTGGCCTTGGCAAGTTGCCTTGGCAAGTTTATTGTATATAAATACCCTCTCCAAACCTCTGTAGCCAGTGTCTTCCCAGCCTATACAACACAGTGCATTTTGGTTTGTATTCCTGGTCATATCAGCTCATTTGTTAGTTTCGTGAAGGTAGAGGCACGCCTTGCCCTTCGTTGGGTGCCCTTCCCAACGCAGAGCCTTCTGCTGTCTTTAGTATCTTTGTACCACCTGCTACTAACTAGGTGGCTAACATGGTTACATGGTCAAGATTTAGTGGATCAACGAGCATGGCGAGAGTAGCCGGTAAAGAGGTCCAAGTCACATTCTCAAGGGCAAAATTCTGCTCAGTGAGCGAAAGGGTGGAAGGGACCCAGTAGGCAGCCTATGCCGGAGGGAGCCAGGATGCAGTTACCTGTGTGAGCATGTGCAAGGAGCAGAGTGCTGTGCTGACAGCCCAGTGAGACACACAGAACAGAAGGGTTGTAAGGGTACAGCGCGAAGGTGAGTTTTGGGGGCAAAACCAACAACAACCACAATACGTGGCTTCCGCCGGTTGGGAGCATGGAACCTCTGGTGTTACCAATCCCCGTGATAATGTTATGAGGTACACAGTGGTCACTGATTTCTTTTATGTGTATGTGTGTGTTTTTTTTATTTTATAAAACAATAAAATTTCATAATCAAATAATAAGAGAATAACAATAGCTATTACACTATGTATCATTATCTTCAAAGTTGTTACACAGAGTATAAGACATAAGCCAAAAGGATTCTTACAAAAAAGAACAGATAATAACATAAATCTTTCTTTTCAATGAACTAAGGTAAACTAGTAGTACAATTGAAACTACTTGGCATATATATTGAAATATTTTTAAAATAATGGAATTTGTAATTTGGCAAAGTATTTCAACTCTGTACTTACTATTTATCTCATATATTTGTATGTATAGGTATATATACGTATGTGTATGTATATATAATTTCTCATTTAAGAGAAATCATGTAATGTCTTAAGCTTATGTGTCTGACTTATTTCACTTAACTTTATGTTCTCGAGTTGCATCTATTTACCTGAGAATGCCTTAAGTTTATCTTTCTTTATGGCAGCATAGTCCTCCATTGTACATAAATACATTTTCCTTATTCATTCATCTATTGATAGACATATATGCTATTTCCAAGATCTAGCTATTATAAATTGTGCTGTTATAAACATGAGAGTGCATGTGTCCCTGTGATTTTACGGTGATTTTAACTTTTTGAAATACGGTGATTTTAACTTTTTGGGAAGATACATAGAATCGGGATAGCTGGGTCAAGTGGAATTCCTATTTTCAGTGTTTTGAGGGATCTCCACACTGATTTCCATAGTGGTTATACTAATTTACATTCTGTCTTAGTGACTTTTCTTGTTGCTGAAATAAAATACCCAGCAGCCCCAAAGCTCACAGTTTGTAGAGATTTCAGTCCATAGTTGGCTGGCTCCAAGACATGGCACAGGAAAAACAGTCCATGCTGACAGGCAGGATGTAGCAGCAGCAGCAAGCTTCCTTTTCCCTTTTATTCTATTCAGGTACAGGTCTATTGTTTGGTACTACCCACACCCTGGGTGGGCCTTTCCATTACCTACAACCAAAAACTATGCTAAACCAGTCAGTAGACTAATGTAGCCATCACATACCCTTACTCTATCTATATTCCCTCAACCTAGATCCAGCCACCTCTGAAAAACCACACCTATGAGCACATGAGGCTTTGCGGGCAAGGTCTAAATACAAGTCATAACATTCCCACCAACAATGTAGTAGAGTTCCTTTTTACCCACATCATTGTCAGCATTTGTTATTATTTGAAATCTTGATGAGCCATTCTTTCTGGAGTAAGATGGTATCTCAGTATGGTTTTAATTTGCATTTCTCTGATGTCCAGCGATGATGAGCGTTTTCTCATGCCTTTATTGGCCATTTGTACTTCTTCTGTTTTGGTTTCTCACTGTTTTTTAGGTCTTTTATTTTGGGAGGTTTAATTTTTTTTTTTTAGTTCTTTATATATTCTTAATGTTAGTCCTGTGTCTGGAATAGCTGGCAAATTTTTTCTCCCATTCTGAAGATTGTCTCTTCACTCGGTTGTTTCCTTTGCTGTGCAGAAGCTTTATAATTTGACATGATCCCATTTGTTGATTCTCGGTACTATTTCTTGTGCCATTGGTGTTATGTTCAGAAAGTCTCTGCCTACACCTATGTCTTCAAGAATTGTACCTATTTTATTTTTCAGTAGATTTTCCTGTTTCAGCATTTAGATTTTTGATCTATTTGGATTTTAGTTTAGTTTAATTTCTACATGTGGATAGCCAGTTTTTCCTATACCATTTATTAAAGAGGCTGTCTTTTTTCCAGTGTGTGTTTCCTGGCCCCTTTGTTAAAGATCAGATAATTAAATGTACTTAGGGTTATTTCTGTGTCCTCTATTTTGTTCTATTTTGTTTTTATGCCAGTACCATGCCATTTGTTTTTGTTTTTTTTTTTTTTTTATCACAGTGTTTTTGTAGTGTAACTTCAAGTCTGATTGTGGTGCCATCTGCTTTGCTTTTGTTCCACAGAACTGCTTTTGTTATTTGCATCTCTTCTGATTCCCTATAAATTTTAGAATTTTTTTCTTTAGCTCTGTGAGAAAATACATTGATATTTTGATTGGGATTGCATTAAAAATGTGTGTATAAGTTTTGGAAGTAGAGCCATTTTGATTATCTTGGTTCTGCTCAACTAGGAACAGGGGATATCTTTCCATTTTCCGATATCCTTGATTTCCTTTTTCAGAATAATATAATTTTATTCTAGAGGAATTTCACTTTTTGATTAGGTTAATATCTAAGTATTTAATTTTTTGATGCTATTTCAAATGGTATTGTTTTCCTGATTTCTTTTTCAATAAGTTTGTTATTAGTGTATACTATTGGCTTTTGTGTGTTTATTTTGTATTCTACTACATTACTGAATTTGGTTATTAATTCTAGTAGTCTTTTGGTAGTTTTTTTGTGTCCTATAAAGGATAATGTCATCTGCAAATAATGTCTTGACCTCATCTTTTCCAGTATATATCCCTTTTATTACTTTCTCTTGCCTAATGGCTCTGGCTAATGTTTCAAGGACTTTGTTGAACAGGAATAGTGATAATGGCCATCCTTGTCTTGTTCCTAATTTTAGGAGAAAGACTTTCAGTTTGATGTTGGCAAACGTTTGGTCATAAATGGCTTTTATCAGATTGAGATAAGGTCCTTTCTGCACCTAATTTCTTTCTTTTTCAAGTATGTCCATGAATGGATGTTGGAGTTTTTCAAAGGCTTTTTATGAGTCTGTTAAGATGATCATGAGGTTTATGTGATAGATTATATTTATTGATTTGTGTATGTTGAACCATATTTGTACCCCTGGGATGATTTCATATTTGGTCATGGTGTATGAATTTTTTTTGATCATTTGTGCCATTTTGTTTGCCAGTATCTTGTTAAGGATTTTTGCACCTATTTCTATTAGAGAATTGGCATATAGTTCTCTGTTTTGTTTGGATATTTCTGTTTTGGAGATGAAGATAATGTTAGCCTCCGAGAATGATTTTGGAAGTACTCCTTTCCTCCGAGTGTCCTTAAAAAAACTGAGGAATATCTGTGTCAAATCCCTGAAGTTTCTGCAGCATTCAGCTGTGAATTCCTCAGGTTCTGGGTTTGTTTTTTTTTTTTTTTCTTTAGTTTAAGGTACTTTTTTGTTATGTTTGTTCTGTTTTTGTTTTTTCATGGCTTCAATCTCATTTCCTGTTTGTGGATTGTTCAAGATTTTAAAGTCTGCTTGGTTCAGTTTTGGCAATTTATATATATCTAGAAAATTTTCCACTTTTTCTGAATAATGCCATTTGAGTATGCTATTTGTTTGATATATATGTTTGTGAAGTAGTTGTTAATTTTTTGCATTTTGGTAGTATAAGTTGTGATTTCACTTTTTTGTTTCTAACTGCATTAATTTCTGTCTTTTCTTTCTTCTTTTTTTTTGGCTAAGTGTTTGTCTATTTTATTTACTGTTTCAAAGGACCTGTTCTTGAATTCATTGTTTCTAAATCTCCATTTCATTAACTTCTGCTCTGATCTTTATAATTTCCCTCCTGTACAAGCTCTGGGTTTAGATTTTTCTTAGTTTTCTAAGACCTTCAGTTGTATTTATTTGGTCTGCCTGTTTTCTGATTTGGGCATGCACTGCTATGGTGTCCCTCTTAAGACTGCTTTCATTGTGGCCCATAAACTTTTGTATGTTGTACTGGCACTATTGTTTAATTCTAAAACTTATATTTTTTCCTTCATTTTCACTGTGACCTATTGATTATTTAACAGTCTGTTGTTTAATTTCCATGTTTGCCTAGTTTCTGTGAATTACTTTGGTATTTATTTCCAGTTTCATTGCACTGTGATCTGATACTATGCATGGTAAAATTTAGATTCTTTTGCATTTACTTAGGCATGCTTTATTAACTAGTATGTGGTCTATTTTGGAGAAAGTACCATGTGTGGCTGCAAAGAATGTGTATTCTGTTGTTAGGTGGGACACTATATATCTATTAAGTTCATTTATTCAAAAGTTGGGTTCAACTCTGGTATTTCTTTGTTGAGTTTTTTGTTTAGTTGATCTATTTACTTGTGATAATGGAGTATTAAGATCCTCCTTTATAATGGAACTGTATTCATGTTTATCTGGTCTTTTATGTCCATTAAAGTTTGTTTTATGAAGTTGAGTACATTGTGGTTTAGTGCATGCATGTTTGTGATTGTTATCTTTTTCTGTTAAATAGTTCATTTAACCAATATGTAATGTTCTTTACTTCTTTTGATGAGCTTTGGCTTGAAATCCACTATATCTGAAAATGGGATAGTTACTCCTGCTTCTTTTGGGGTTCATGTTGCATGGAATATTATCTTTCAACCCTTGATTTTTTAGTCTGAATTTCTTTTTGTGTTAAATGTGTTTCTTGTATACAGCCTATCACTGGATTTTTTTTCTTGATCCATTCTGCTAAGCTGTGTCTTATGATTGGCAAGTTAAATTCATTGCACTAATGGTAATAATTAATATGTATTGACTTATTCTGGCCACTGTATTAATTTGCTGTTGCTGTTTTGCTTTCTTTCTCTTCTACTTAATTACTATCCCTACCGACGTATTCATTTTACTGGATCTTTTGGTGTGGTTAGCTTCATTGTCTCCCCTAGGATATCCTTGAGAACTTTTTGAAGTGTTGGTTTGGTGGTCGTGAATTTCTTTAGGTTTTTCTTTACTGTGGTAGTATCTCATTTTTCCATCAATTTTTGTTTTTGTTTTGAGACAGGGTCTTGTTATGTAATTCAGGCTGGTCTTGAGCTCACTATGTAGCCCAGACTATCCTTGAACTTGTGGTGTTCCTTCTGCCTCAGCCTCCCGAGTGCTGGGATTACAAGTGTATACCACCACATTGGATGTTATCCATCAATGTTGAAAGATAATTTTGCAGGATATAACAGTCTGGGTTAGAAATTGTTTTCTTTTAGAGCCTGAAACACTTCATTCCATGGTCTCCTTGCTGTTAAGGTTTGTGTTGAGAAATCTCTTGTAATTCTCCAGGTCTGATACCGTGTCTTCCCATTGGTCACTTTTGCTACCCATACCCATGATTAAAAATCATGTTGTTCATCTCCTGGATTGTTTTTTGAATTTTCTTATGGACTCTCATTCTTTTCTGTGCTGGGCATTCATGTTTTGCACCTGTTTTTTAAATTCTACTGGCTGCTTTTTAGTGTCTTCTCTAGACTTGTTGGTCATTTGTTTCATTATGGTCATTATATGATTTATTACATGTTTAAATTCCAAAGCACCTCACAGAACTGTTTGACCTCCATTAGTATCTTTTCTGACCTATCTGCTGTGTAGCTTTTGATTCCCTTCCCCTTATTGTCCCTGTATCCGTGTTAAGGGAGATGGGAGTTTTTAGAAGCATTTTGTTGCATTTCCTTCTCATGTTTCTGTTTGTTTGCTTATTTTTTGTGCTGATTCAGTCCCCTGTTCTTCAGAAGTGAGCTACAGTGTTGTTTACAACCTCCCTCTACCCCCAGTAATCCAAGTATTGGCACAGAGAGAAATTCAGTTGCCAGCCCCTGCTATGTTACCTACTGTGTCTATGGTAGTAAATTCACTGGTAACGATTACATTAGATGTCAACAGGATATTGACAAACGCGAGGCATCTCTTATGAACAGTCCTTTACCAAAACCAAAGTGGACTCTGATTTTAGTGAAGATAATTGGACCCCTTTATACTGACATGTAGTAATCCAAAGCAATGCTTTCTGCTGGATGTTGGCAGCAGTGCAGCAACACTAGCCTATCACTAGACTGCATGCCTTCGTCATTAAGCCTGCCCCCTCTGATGATTCCTCCCATTCAACCTGACCTTCCACAACAGAGTACAGGCTCCGCCATCCTCCTGTTCTGGTGCTCCCCGCCAGGGGATCCCAGGAGGTCCTTATTTAGGTCCCACCCTCTCCAAGCCTATCTCCCAAGCCTGTCTCTCATCCTGTCTCTGTAGAAGGGTATCAGTTCAATCCTGAAGCAAAATTCTCCCGGTCTCTTCTTCAATCAGGTTGGTCTATTGGTTGTCAAGTCTGCTGCCTTGTGCTACGGAGAACCCAGGGACTGGAGGAGGGGTGCTTGGTTCCCAAGTCCTCTGGGTTCCAACACAGGGCCAGATGGGCCACGGCAATGCCTGGGGGCAGGGCAGGCCTCACCAATTTCAAGAGTAAGGAAACCGGCTTAGAGAGATGGAGATTTTCCCAGAACACAAACTGTGGACTGGATTCCAACCTCAGCTCCCATGGGAGCTGAGGTTGGAATCCAGTCCACAGTTTGTGTTCTGTCCGCTCTGCCGTGATGGAACATTGATGAGGAAACTGGTCACTGACTTCAGAGGCCATTGACAAGCAAGTAGAAGTCATATCACTCCTCCTTGTTTTCCTCTGGCTTCCCTTTTGACTGGGGCAGCCCAAAGGGGTTCTGGCCAGTTCACAGGAACCAACTTCAAGGTCTCTTTTGGAACAGGAGCCACCCCGAGATCAAGCCTTGGTGGACCATGAGAATGTCATCAGCTGTCCCCATCTGGGTGCCAGCACCAAGGAAGCCCAGAGCCGCTGTGGGGAGGAAATAGCCATCCAGTTCGTGGACATGGTGAAGGGGAAGTCCTTAGCAGGGGTTGTAAGTATCATTGCATGGGGCTGGGGCACTAGAGGCTGAGAGAGGAGATAGGGGAGGTTTCTTATGAAAGATAGTGGCTCCATAGGTGACCAGATTTGGTCCTCCTGGAGCAGAAGATAGAGTCCACTTGAATTGGCTGTCTTGGAGAAGAAGGGAGTGGGCAGGAGCAATCTATCTGCAACCTTGATAGCCGTGGCCTTGGAGTGAGAAGCCCTGTTGGAGCTGCTACACTGTAGCCCTGCTGCAGAGCTGGTGGCTCTTCCCAGGCGCAGCCTCTGGATAAAAGCTCCTCTGTTCTCCACATACCTTGGGAGTGAAGGGGTGTTGCTGGGGTGACACAGCTGTGTGCAGGGGGTGGTGTGGGGGGGCCCGTGTAAAGAGCTGGCATCTTGTGCACTTCCCAGAGTGCGCTTTGCATCATGTCTGTTCTCAGGGACTCACCCCACCCTGAACGACCTGCCTCCCTCACCTTCTGAAAGTGGAACCCTCGAGGCCAGCTGGGACTGCACTTTCCCAAATCATGGCCTCACAGCCCCACTTCTGGTCTTTGCCCATACTGGCCTTCTTGGCAAGGGCTTTTCCTCTAAGCTTAACCTGATGACATGCCGAGAATAAGTCTGGACACCAGAGACTGCCACAGCCCTTGGGGTAGACGGATAATGAGGAGGGCATAGCTCCTTCAAGGGGACCCTGGCCTCCTTCATGAGGTCTCACTTGTCCTTTGTAGCTCTGCCTCCATTCTTCTATTAATTAGTAACATTCTTAGATTTCTTATATCTTTCTTTTAAACTAAATTCTCTGTTCTCTGAGGACAAAAAGCAATGCCTTAAGTTTCTCCACAGTTTATGTGGGTGTGGGTTGGCCCAGAGCACGTACTCAGTACTCTGAGAAAGTCAGTGAATGAGGCTCTGTGAAAGAGCCTGTGTCCCTGGCCTTCACTTGCAAAGACGGAATTGTGCCAGGAAGGACCAGATGTTCTATTCAGCCCTCCTTCCTCTGACAGCTCAGCTGTCCAGGCCACCCTGCCCTCTACATTCTGAGTAAATCAGGGTGCTGCCTGCCGTCTGCTGTCCCTCTTTGCTCCCATTCAGTTGTGGAAGTCAGGAGGATTCATTAAGGCCAGTTACCAGAGGTGTGATGTGAGGGCGTGGAGAGCCTGTGCTGGAGACAGAACGGGAGTCAACAGGACCTGGACCTGGACCTGGACCTGGACCTGGACCTGGACCTGTCTGTCTTCTGTCCTCTAAATGTGTTGCTCCTCAGGGTGGTGCCTACTTTCTCACTCACCCTGCCTCTCAGTAGACTTCTGAGAAGGTTCTCTCCTTCCTGGTGACCCTGACAAGGACCCAGGCTGGGGCTAAGGAAGACGGGAGGCACAAGTCCTCTGCTAATCGACATGAGTATGGCTTTCAAAAGGCAGCTTTGTGCCCTACCTATTGCACCCCATGGGAGGAATTACCTTGTCATTAGGCAGTGGTGGCATTGCAGTGCTTTCCTGAACCGGACTGTGTAACATAAGTGCCATTAAATGGAACCATAGAATATCCCTATCTTACTTAGTGAAATCTCTTGGTCAAAATTGTTAAATGTTAGTAAATTTAACTTTCTGCCCAAAATTGCTGATGGGATTTAGAAAGACATTTGGGAAGAAAGATATTTTTGTCACTTTAGGAAATAGCTTTTTCCTTTAATCCCAGCACTCGGGAGGCTGAGGCAGGAGGATCGTTGTGAGTTCAAGACCAACCTGGGCTACAAAGTGAGTTCAAGGCCAACCTGAACCACAGAGCGAGACCCTTTCTCAAAAAAAAAAAGAGGGAAATTGCTTTCTCCCTAACTGTCTTAATCACTTTTTCATCACTGAGACAAAATATCCAACACCCACAATTCAGAGGAGGAGAGGTTCATTTTGGCTGAAGTTGTTAGTCCATGGTCAGCTAACTCCAAGGCAGGAACGGAATAGCAGAAGGACATGGCGGAGGACAAGGTGCTCAGCCCGTGTAGCCAGGAGGCAGAGAGCAAAGGTAGGGGCTGTGGAGAGAATCTCCCCTCGGTCATGGTCTCCATGACCTGTTTCCAACTACGGAATTCATCAGTGGATGAGCCCACTCATGAGTCCAGCACCCGTGACCCTATCACCCTCCACACTCCAGAATTGTTGGTGACATTTTAGATCCAATCCAGGATGCGAATTCTTTATTGCATCTTCTCCAGTTCAGTTCTAACCTTTGCACAAATGTCTCAGGTCCCTGATTCTTCCCGGAGCCCTCTTCCTTCTCTTTTAGAGGCTGGAGATTGGGCCTCTCTTTATTCTCCTGACCCGCAATGAGCTCCCTGGTGGTGGGCTATGTGGGCCCCACACAGGAAAAAGAAATGAGCCGTGGTGCCTATCTTTGGGGCCATCTTGGCTGAGCGTGTTTTCTGTTTCCTGTGTCTGTACCTCCTCTCAGCTCAGCCAGCTGTTCCACAGTAGTCCAGCTTTCCTCTCAACAGCTTGCTCTCTCAGGTTCCTCTTTCTTTGTAACCTCTTGGGGAAGATAAAGAGAAGCCTTTCAGCAGGAAGCATTCACACCAGGCTCCCATGCCTTGATAGCTATTTCCAACACTAAGATTCTCCGTTTAAAAAAAAATACTTTTTCAATGATACCTTGTTTTAGGGGGTGCAAACAAAGTCTTGCCATGTAGTCTAGGCTGACCTCAAACTTGTTATATAGCTTAGGCTGGCCTTTGAACTTGAGATCCTCCTGGTTCAGCCTCCTGAGTGCTGGAATTACAGTACAGGTATGTACTACCACGCCAGGCTTCTAGTATCAGATAGAAACAGTGTTTCTTTACCACTTCTTGTAGCTACCTGTTTGATTTGCATCAAATCTCAGGTTTTTAATTAAATCCTTAGGTAGCTCTTACATACAACCTTAAAATGGAATAAGAATTTCAGCCTGGAACAGGCTGATTTTGTTGTCAGGTCCCTGGAGAGGATCCAACTGGGCAAGGCTTAGGCTTGGAATTTCAGTTCTTAGCACACTTCCTGGTTGATTGACTTGCATAAATTTCTGAAGTATGATAGGATCATCAGAATTATGTGGCTCCATCTCTATGTATTGTGATGACTGAGTATAGTGTTCAGTGAGACGGTAAATAGTCACATTTTTAAAAAATCAAGATGGAAAATAAAAACGGTAAATTAAGAGTGCCATCCCAGAGAGAACCACCCCTCTAACTCCAGCTCATCTATGGCTGTATTATGTAAGTCAAATATCCATGTTTAATGTGCTATCCAAACCCTTCAGCATAGAAAAAAGCAAATCTGCCACAGGGTGGGTGTGTGGTCTTAGCCTTTTGTGTCTATTTCTGGCTCGAAAGCTTTCTGACCTGTAGGGATAATTTGTTGTCTCTTTTTTGGTGGCTGATGGAAGTTGTCACTCTCCACACACCCAAAGCATGAGTAGCCCTATGCCTTCCCTCCATGTGGAGCTGTCTCTTGGCAATAAGACCTTGATTTCGTCACTGAATCAGGCAGGTGGACCCCCTACTTTCCTAGTGATCTTTCTGTTTCTTTCTATTTTCGTAGGTAAATGCACAGGCCCTTACCAGTGCCTTCTCTCCTCACACCAAGCCTTGGATTAGTCTGGCAGAAGCTCTGGGGACACTGATGCAGGCCTGGGCTGGCTCCCCCAAAGGGACCATCCAGGTGGTGACACAGGGTGAGCATGGATCTTGTGAGCCACACAGTATGCGTTGGGGGTACTGCAGAGGGATAGGGGAAGAGTGTGGATCCGTCCTTGCTGGATGTGTCCACTGCTAACCACAGAGCTGGTCAGAGACTCCAGCGACTTGGGCTCTTCTCTCAATGCAGCTCATTTGCTACTGAGTGTGGGGGCAAAAAGCCACTGGGAAAGTATATTTAATGTTTCATAAATCTTGTTTATGTAATATTTTTAGGATAGACATGCTTTGTGTGCAAGAGAGATGCTCACAGAGGCAATTTCATGCAAAAGGCAGAGAAATCAGAGGAGGGAATCCCAAGTTCAACAACCAGACCACTTAATTCTCCGTGGCTTACCTGCTGGGTGACTCTTCTTCCTTTGAGCCTTGGATTCTTCATATGTGACCAGCAAGGCAGTGGGGACATTTTGTGCTCTGTAACTCACCAAGGTGCATGATCTTTGGGGGTTTGCTCCTCGTGGAGTGGGAATGAGAGCGGAAACAGTACCCACTCCCTCCTCCTCCCCCCGGCCTGCTGAGCACGCTTCGGCTGCCTTTGTGGTGGATCCAGCACAGTGCAGATATGGCTCAGTGACCAGGGAGGAATTCATTTCCCTTAACTTCTAGAGAGCTGTCCTGCCCCACTCACTGTTGGCTTCTGACACTTGCAGAGAGATTGTGGGGTGGGGCAGTTAGACCACAGCACTAGCAATATCAGGGAAGGTCAGCCCAGGTCCGCGCTAACCTGGGCACCCAGGAGGCAGAGGAAAACAGGCAGTTGCTTTAGTCGCTCATCTCTGCTCATTCCTTTAAGCTGGCAAGGCTCTGAGTGCCAGACAGTGAGAGGAGGGAATTTCCAAGTGTTTCCTAGGAGACTGAAAGGCAGGCCAGGGTGGCCTGAAGACTTGGGCTGAGTCTCGGGGAAGAGTTTCTCAAGCTGGCTGAAGTGTCCTGGGCTTCTCAACCTGGACCCCAACAGTCTTCCCTTCCTGGCTCTGAGCATTACGGAGGAGAGGCAGACTGCTTGCTCCAGGCTGTGGCAGTGGTCCTTAGGTTCCACAGGAGTCTGTAGCCCAGAGCTAAGAAGCTGTGGCTTCCTGTACCCACCTGTGGTGCTCAGTGAACAATGACCTTATTGTAGTTTCTCTCTGTCCCCAGGAATATCTTTGAAGAATGCTGGGAACTGCCTCAGTCCTGCAGTCATTGTCGGCCTCCTAAAGAAAGCTTCCCAGGAGACGGATGTGAACTTGGTGAACGCCAAGCTGCTGGTGAAAGAGGCTGGCCTCAGTGTGCGCTCCCACCCCATTCCCTGTCAGCACTGCTCTTCCAACTCTCATTTGCAGTCAGCTCACAGCTGTCTCACTGGGTGGAAGTTCAGAGTGCGAGTCCTGCCCTTGGTCCTGTTTACCGTGAGAGCTGCTCATAATCTCTTCATCTGCAACATGAAGAGGACACCCCCCTCTGAGTGTTGCTGAGTAATTGATACCTATGAAAACCCTTCATGGATAGATAAATAAGTGGTATATGAACAGGATACAGTGGTATGGTAACCCCACTGCACACCCAGGGAAAATGAACAAGGCTGTGTCTAAATGGAAGCTGGAGATGGCCTGGTGCACTCAGCCTCTGACTCCATCCAGTGCTCCTTGTATCACAGCACCTAGTATATGGATTAGTTTGCAACTCTGGGAGAGGGCAACGCATTTCTGCTGCTTCTCAGGGCCTCCCCTCTCTGTGCTTCTCAGTCATGAGGAAGAGACGGAGGCAGTAATGGAGCTCTCCCACCCCCACCCTCCACTCCTACATCAAAGTCAGGCCCCTGGCTGCAGGAGACAGGAAGCTGGAGCAGGAGGAGCCAACCCAGATCAGCAAAGCAGCTGCTGGGTGCTCACAGTCCTGCCTCTCACCTCCCCGCCACTCCTCTGCAATTCCTACCCCTTTCCTCCAAGCCTGTATCTGGCAGGTCTTTCTTGGTCTTCCTTTAGGGAAGTCCAGGGAAGCTGACACACAGGGCGCAGACTTACCCCACTTGCCCTGGCCCTGACTTTCTGAGCTCATTGGCCAGACTGGAACTCTGCACATAGGTGATTATGCAGAGTGAAAATGATGCTGCCAGGACTAACTCCACCTTCTTGCCTTTTCTCTGCAGGTGACCACTTCCCACACCCCTGCTGCCCCGGGGGAGCAGGACCATGAGGAATGCCTTCTGACCGTGGCCCTGGCAGGTGCCCCCTACCAGGCTGTGGGCTCAGTCCAGGGCACCACACCTGTGCTGCAGGCACTCAGTGGAGCAGTCTTCCGGCCAGAAGTGCCTCTCCGCCGGGGCCTGCCTATGCTGCTGTTCCAAACTCGGCACTCCACTCCTGCAGTGCTGCCTACCATGATTGGTGAGCAGGGCCACCAATGGGGGGCTGGCCAGGATCCTTGAGGCGGAGGTGGGATGTGTCCTGGGATTAGATCCCCACAGACTTGCTCCTTTCTTGCTGCCCTTCTGTGGGCCTCAGAGCACATCTGGATCTGCATGAAGCAGGGAAAGTGCCTTACCTAGGGTCACAGAGCTGTGGGACAGGGGTGGCACCAGAGCACGTATTAAGGGCCCCAGGCCCCAGGCCTCAGGCCTGCCATGTGAGGCACACTATTTACACCTGCACATCTCTATTCGAGGAGCTAAGGGCCACTGCAGGCAGGTTTACCTCTTCTGCTGCCAACCCTGGTGGCCAGCCTGCCTGAAGCAAAGCTGAGTTTGGCAAAAGGGTGTGCCCTTGGGTTGGAGAAAACCAGATCAGCAAGTCAAGAGCTCTAGCTCTGTCAGACGGGCAGACCTCAAAAGTCTCTGGAGTATTGAGGGAAACTGAACAGGTGTCTTATTTTTCTTTCCATGTCAGTTCTTGATATTAAGGTCAACTTCACCCCACTGCAACTTTGATCATGGCTGCCTGACTCTGAGTACTTGCAGCCCTCACTCCTTCTTCCATGCCCTATGCTCTGTGCCCCATGCCAACCAGGGGTTTCTTACACTTCCAGGTCTCCTGGCTGAGGCAGGTGTGCAGCTGCTATCCTACCAGACTTCCGTGGTGTCAGATGGGGAGACCTGGCATGTCATGGGCATCTCCTCCCTACTGCCCAGCCTGGAAGTATGGAAGAAGCAGGTGTCTGAGGTCTTCCAGTTCTACTTCTAACCTTGGAGTTCACCAGTCCCAGCTTTGGGGGCTTCTCTGAAGAAACTTAACCACTGTAAATAGTAAGGAGAGGCGATCAACATTGCTGGGGCTGAATAGAGTCTGGTGCTGCTCTGCTGCAATCCTCTGGCCCTGCAGTAAGGCAGTAACCATCGAATAAAGAGCCTGCTCCCACCCCTCTGTCTCCATGTTGTCATTGTCCTAAAGAGCCACCAGAGGGCATGTGTGTTCGGCTGCTGGAGGGTAGGAGATGGGGAGGGAGGCTGGGTGGGGTAAATGGCGTGAGTGTGGCTGCTCTGAAAATGACCCCTCTCCTAAGGTTAGAGGCATTTTCACAGACACACACTCAAGAGTATTTCAGATTCTGTCCATCGTGAATATATGTGCACATTAATGAGTAAAATTCAGCAAACACACACACCACTATATCACGAGTACCAGGCTGGTTCTTTGCTTTCAGGAAATTCAAACCTGATCCCTACTACAGAATTCTCATACAATCAGGAGGCAGAGTGCACAGGTCAGTGGATGCATGAGTGTGGGGCCAGAGGTGTGTGGGAAGCTCTCCTGAGTCCCAAGGAAAAAGTGCTCTAAACTGGGGGTGTTTGGAAGGATTTCCTGCAGGGAAGAAAATCCAGAGGTTGGAGGTATGAGGATCTTTAGCAGGTTCACAAAGCAAGCTCAGTGTGAACTGAATAGTATACTGCCTTTTTAAAAGATTATTTCATGCCTAATGTTAGAATAGGACTCCATGCAAAAGACTTTGCCTTTTGAGAGCTTTTCTCCCTTGTAGGGAAGGATGCATTCCAGGCTGCCTATTAGGTGCCAGTAGCTTTCAGGGTTGGGGCAAGATGATTCAGAGGGTTGTATAAACTCAATCGGCACCCACTGTATTGTGCTGTATCTCACATAGCTGGGACTTACAGGTCCAGGAATCAAGGGGTAGAAGTGGGAATGGTACCATTCATTATTACCCCTAGTGATTCGCTAGCAAAGTTTTTGTTTTCTGTTCCTGCAGCTTTATGCTCTGCTGGCTTATAAGTTTTATTTATAGAATGAGGAAGGCTTGTACCAGGAAGTACAATTATGGTACATTATATAAGATGGTAAAACTTTCCCTTGGTCATTTTGGTCTCCTAATGCCTCTGAGAGAGCAAGCTAATAAGGGAGTCACAGTGTTGGTAGGCTATCAAGGGGACCCAGATTATTAAGGGGAAATAGGACTACTGCTGTACAATGGAGGGAAGGAGGAATACACTTAGAGTGCAGGAGATCCCTCAGGGCACCTTCTAGTATTACTATGCTCTGCTATTGAAATTAATGGGAAAGTACAAAAACCCAGTCCAGGCAGAATGACAAATGACTCAGAACCTTCAGGAATGAGGATATGGGTTGGCCCACCAGGGAAAGAACCAAGACCTGCTGAGGTGCTTGCTGAAGCCAAGGGAATACAGAATGGGTAGTAGAGGAAAGTAGTTCAAAATACCAACTGCAACCCTGTGATCAGCTACAAAAATGAAGATTGTGATTGTAATAGCTTTCTCACTGTGATTTTAATGTGATATAATATTAATAGATACTGGTTTTTTAAGTATTTTAAAATCTGGTACATTAAGGGCCTAGGCTTTATTACACAGATTTCTTATGTTTTGCAATACAACTAAATTTTAAACCATTTACATAGAGTCAAGGGAGGTTTAAAACCTGAAAAGCCCATATTTTTCATGTGAAGGCATTGTCTTGATCTATTGTACATTGTAAGCAAATCATTAATTTTTTAATTTGTCATGTGAGGCACATGGTTTTCTGCTCATTTGCTTTTTTGGTATTTTAATCATTGATTAGTATTAAATGCATTTTTAAGATTTTGGGACAAAGTAAGAGATACACAAGAAAGTTTTTGTGAAGTATATACATTTATAGGTTTTAGACACATGTTTGTAATGAGGTTATTTAGTCAAAACATTGTAGTTTTAATTTTGAATTTTGAGAACTCTTTGAATATTTGTTTTTGGTGTGGAAATAAGTGCAATAAGAATTATATACATGTAATTGTTATATTAGTGTAAATCTGAATAGATCAAGACATTAATTCTTTACAAATATCCTACTGGAGACTAGTTTAAGGAAATCTATGTCATTATCAAGTTGACAAGGGGTGGACTGTGATTGTCATTTTGAGTGGGAACACCCAGCTAAATTGAGTCAGCATGGTTCTGGGTGTGGAAAACCCACTTTAAGGAGAATTGTTGTCAGAACAGTATAAAAAGAATCGGCATGAAGGATTTCAGCTGATCTTTGGAGAAGCTTCATTGCACCTGCTTTTCTTCAGAGGAGTTTTCGGCTATTATTCCTTGAAGGCTTTGGCTGTATTCTTTCTTCAGGGGAGCTTCACTCCTCATCTTCAGGGCCAGTGTTTATGGGGGCTACTGGGTAGGGTCAAATACATTTACCAGCCAAGGGCAGTATTTTAAACATGATCCATGGGCAGAGGCTGTGCTAGTGCTCTTCCACAAGAACTGCTCTGTGGATCTGTAGAACATAAAGAAACAAGGAAAAGATTCGATCATGAGTCTCACTGCTAACTGGGACTCCAGCACCTGCTCCTTGCCCAAGGTTTGGCTATGCATACCGAGGTCTGGTGCATTCCCACTCCCCTCCCAGCTCCAAGCCTGGACTTCAGAGAGGCTTGGTATCCGATGTTATAGGAGCCAAAGCTGGGGTGGGCAAGGTCCACATCATCTACTCCGCTCTGCCTGTGATGGGACAGTAGACAGCTGGGGCACTGAAGAGACTTAAGGAGCTCCACAGAGCATTGCATAGATGTCAAGCTTTTGTTCCAGCTATAGTCGCATTGCTATAGGTTTACTGCTCATGTGACTACCAGCCAGAGAAAAGTGTAAGAGCCCTAGTTTTCTCAGTAGACACATGATTTTTTTCAGGGAAGGGGACTGATTTGGAGATTTTCCTTTGATTTTATTTATTTTTTATTTTTAAAAGGTATATATACATCTTTAAACTTTTTCTTTTTTAATTTTTTTTTTTTACTGGTACATGTTTGCAGTATATAAGTGATCATATTCATTATGGGGAGTTGGTAGGTATATGTTATAGCTTATGTCTAGATATCCCCCCCAAAGCCTTATGCATTAATAGGTGGGGCTTTTTCAGAGGTGGCTGAATCTAGAGCATGTCATGGTGGGATCAAGGATGTGTGATTACTAAATTAGCCTGCTGATTAGTTCTGGGTAGGACTAAGGGCGCCTCAGAGAGACTTTGAAGGCTGTGTAAAGGAACCTGGGTATGATTGCTATTTCCCCTAAGGGGCAGGTAGCCTGGATAAAAATATAAAGGGCAGAATGAGAACTAGTGGGTCACTTGTTGCTTATTGCTTGAAGTTTGCTGCCTTGCTGATGTCTGCATTCTGCCTGCCATGAACTGTTTCTCCTCTGGGATGCCCTCTGCCATGCCACCCTGCCTTGGAGCCAGCCAGCTATGAATTGAAAACTCTACAAATTGTCAGCTACATAAATCTTTCTTCCTTTTACTTTGAGTGTCAGGTGTTTTGTCTCATCAATGAGAAAAACTAAGACAATAGGCCTAACACATTTTAATTCTTTTTACATCCTCCCCACTACTTCCTTCCATGTCTTAGTCCTCTTCCCATTTGCAAAACTTCTCTCTCTTTCCTAATATCCATGAGATTCTCCTTTGAAAAACTCCAGTTCTTCTATTTGTCTGTCTGTCTGTCTGTCTGTCTTTCCCATTACTGAACTTAACTGGATAAATTTAGCCTTCTGTTTGCCACTGACTTGCCCCTAAGGACCATATTTCCAACAACTTCCCTGGCAGTACCATAATCTTATAAATCTGCTATAGACCTTGCCCTCAACTTCATCGTACAGCCCTGGCCTAGTAGCTCCATATGTACCTTTCCTTGTCCCTAACAGCTCAGCAACAGCTCATGAGCATCTCCTCAGGGACACTGAGCAATTGAGAACATTCCATTGGCTGCAGGGAAACTCCTGCACCCATCCTCCTGTGATGGGCACCCATCCTCCTGTGAGGCTTGACTGAATCTTTCCTTATCCATGAATGTTATAGCTTGTGTTAGATGTCCCCCAGTGACTCCTGCAGTCATAGGTGGGGCTTTTTCAGAAGTGCCTGGATCTAGATTGTGTGTGTGATGCTGAGATTGATTCATGGTGCAGTGCTAGGTTCAAGGGTACTAGGCTCAAGGGGGTGAGCACTAGCTGGCCTAAGTATCCTAGATAAGATGTAAAGGATAGTAAAGGGCTGTGGTTAGCCTTTACTTGTTTTGCTACTTTCTGCATGCGTGAACTGTTTCTCCTCTGCAATACCTATCTGCCATGCTGCCCTGCCTTGGAGCCAGCTGATTATGGACCAAAGCCTCTACAAACAGTGAGCTAAATAAGCCTTTCCTCCTTTAACTTTGAGTTTGTTGGGTACAGTGAACCCTGTAGTTGTGACCAGCCTGACACACAAACAACTTGGGTTATGACTGGAATTTTAGTTTTAACTTATGAACAAAATCTCGAGTTATGACCTGAATGCCAATGCTTGTGGTCTCAGGTACAGATTTAACCCTTAAAGAGTTCTGGAACATCCTTTCCTATAAGCGGTTAATTGAAGGATCCTGGGCCAATATCCCTCTAAGGACACTGAGATCTGCCTGTGGACAGGAGAGAGACTTTGAAGGCCGTGTAAAGGAACCTGAGCCTTCAACTGACAACTTGAGTTACAACCAACCCTTGGGAATGAATTGAGTTTGTAAGTCCAGGGTCCATTCTGTTTTGTCTCAGCAACAAGGAAAGCAACTAAAACAATGAACTTCTTTTTCTCCCCTGCTCCATGCCTTGCCCTTGGCACACCTTTTTAGTCTTCCCCCTTAGCTTCCCATAGGAAATCAAAAGTTAAAGCTTGAGTGGGAATTACACTGACAGATTTGTGTTACAAAAGAAATTACTTCTCACTCTTTTCTGCTTATTTATTTGGTGGATACACTGAAACAGGTATTTGCGTTCAGGAGTGAAAAGACCACCATTTTTAATACTTGATTTTTCTTAAAAAATACCTTAAAGAATTCTTCTATTCATTCTCACTGCAGTACTCTTTCATTAAACTCTGTTCTCTTCTTACACTCATCCCCGCCATACTAGCAAGCCTCGCTGCTTCTCCTCAGAAGGAACGGTTATTACATGGCCCCCTAACCCAGCGCTCCCTCCAGACAAGCTTTCTGGGTCTAAAAAACTCATGACCACCCTCCTTCCTCACAACTGTTCCTAACAGTTGGATGCTCTTCATCTTTGTCACTCCCTTTGGAGCAGTAACTTGTGCAGGTTCAGTTTTGCTGCCTGCTTCCCCCTCAGTCAAGCTTCTAGGGGAGCCCTTAAGCAGATCAGATAAACAAGTCTGACTCTTTTTCCCACCTTTAAAATTTCAGGATATGATCATCTCCCGGCTTTTGCCTTTCCAAGGCAGTGAAGAGAGCCCCAGGCCTTTTTTCTGTCCTTGCATATAAATACCCTCTCCCAATCATTTTGGAAGCTGTGGACTCTCAGACCTACTTACAGTGTCAGAATTGAATCTGTTACCTAGAGGAAGACCTAGATTTAAGCCATCCAAGGGATTAACCCTGGATGCTCTCACTCACCAGTTTTAGATGGGACGCCGGGCATACTTTCGGCGATGCATCTCATCCACTCGCTCGAGGTACCAAGTACCCGGAAAAAGGTTGTTTGTGTCACCAGGTGGTGAGAAGTTTGCTGTGCAATGAAGAAAAAGGATAATATTCACAAAAAGCTACAGGGGTTTGGGGAAGAGAAAACAGCAATAGAAATTCTTACAGATTCATGGTGAAGCTGCCCTGGCAGTGCTGCCAGGCCCTGCAAGGCCTCCTTCAGTGAACCAGATAGAACACTGCACCCGCACAAAAAGCAGAGAAGCAGCCATCTTGGATCTGGCACTAAAGCCTGGCTTATTAAAGTTTATTATAGAAGTAACATTTTCCTGTAGGAAACAGTCCCTTCATCCACTGAACTCTTCCCACATCCTATTGCCTGTGTGCTTGTGTTGCGGTATACCTCAGAACTTACTTTTGACTAATACATTTCCTTCTTTGTCTTAACATCTTTGGCTCTGATTTACTGCAGCACTGTAGTGTTTTGAACATTAATATTCATCCCAGAGGTCCTATTTTTTACTCTTACTATTTGTCTTTGCTCTAACATCTGTTCCTAATGAGATCAGCCATCTGAGTCATCTGAAATATTCCCAATTCCATTTATTCTTTCTCTGCTTCAAACTACTCTGCAAATCATCTGGTCTCTCCATCCTCACTTTGGCTTTTGTTTATTTTTCATTTGTTACTTTTTGAGAGTGATTGTTTTTATGTTTGGCAGAGAAAGAGGGCAGTTAGGAGGGGAGGAGACAGTAATATTCATTGGTAACTTATTTAAGTACATTTATTTACTTCATCTCTTTGGAAATCCTGTCATGTTAGTATTTTAGAAATGAGATGATGAAAAGTTTAATGTTTTTGGTAAGTAACACCACTCATTTAGATTTAGATCTTAAGCTTTGAAGTTTGGGTTTTTGCAACATTTGCACAGAGATTTCAAATACTGTACTTCCAGATTCCAGGGGACAACATTGTCCACCGGGAAGCTCCATGCTGCCTACTGTGTCTTTCCTACTCTGCCTTCTGCTTCCTTACCCAGCTCTTGCACCCTCTCACAAGAGATTTTCTCCCACTCCTTTGTTGTAAATGTTTTGATGCACTACATCCTAAATTCCTGATAAACCCCTGATTCCTAGCTACTGACATGGAATCTGAAAGGAATTGCTTCTTTTCTCTTCAATTTCTGCCCTTTTTCTTACCCTTGTGGTAGAATTGCTCTCTTTGGTTCATTACTTCTGTGAATTCTTCAGGAGACATACGCTTCCGGGAGGCCAGACGTTTTGGCAGGTCTGACACACTAGACACCAACTTCTCCAGTGGGGACCCTGGGAAGCAAAAGCAAGGTGTTAAACCTTTCTTACTGCATTATTACTGCTGCCATCAGAGAGCCAGCGTCTGTGGCAGATTGCACGCCAGGGGGAAGTGTTCTGCATGTGGTTTCAAATACAAAGTCATGATAGTCAAACATCAGTGTTAGCAAACACAGAGACAGGCATTTATTTAGTAAGATGTATCCCATATAGTGTTTAGAAATGTTTCTCCAACCACATCAATCATAAAATAATCAACACTTACTGGATATCTCAACTCCATCAACTTCTCTTTAAGCAGGTGTAAATAAACCACTTATCTCTTGCCTAGACTATATCTAGGCTATATCTAAGTGGTTTCCTCATATCCACCTTTGTTTCTTTTAAAGCTAATTTCTAAGCAGTAGCCAAGGATGGACTTTAACTACATATGTTAGACAGATCACTACTTTAACCCCTGCAGTGATTTTCTTTGCTTTTCCTTACAACATGGCGGCCTCTGCACTGGCAAGGCAGAAGATGGTTTCTTGCATCAATGAATCTTGTCAGGAAGTCCTGATAGAAAGATGAAACTCACCAGGAGAAGCATTCTGGGACACTCGAAATGAAAACAAACTTGCTGCTAGGCCAGAGCCATAGGAGAAGGCGCCAATCCTGGAGCCAGCCAAGTCCTGAGCAGAGTGACTGTATGGAAAGAAACCAAAACCAAAACCACATCGGCATTATATTCTCTACGGGAAATAAAGTACCCACATGTTACCCTACACTTGTTCCTGTCCACCTCCTGAGACTTGCAATGTGCTTCAACTGCTCTACACCAAGAGGAGTTTTGGGTGGACCCTGAGGCCAAACCCAAGAATGGGAGACCTTGCCCAAAGGAAGTGCCAAAGTCCAGAATATATAAGGTACAAGGAGCACAACAGAATTTGGGTATAAAGGGAGCTCTTTTCCACTCCAGGGACAGGATGGGTTCAGTGACTGTGTGTCCTCATGGAGGCTCATGCCCAGGCTCACAGGCTGCCTAGCAATCATTCAGCCTTTTGATCACCACCCCCTATTAGCAATAATTTGGTCAAGTTCACCCATGAGTATTTTTTCTTGTATACATTATTTCTGTAAACCCCACAAAACAGAAAGTCAATAAAAATAACAGCTAACCTGCTGAGCACTACATATTTTCAGACACTCAATGCTCATAAATACGTGGAAAGCAGGAATTGTTATACACATTTTACAGGTGGAAAAAGTGAGGCACAAACAGGTCATTTATTTTTGCTTATTCATTTGTTTGTTTTGTATTTGAAACAGGGTCTTGATGTTGCCCAAGCAACTCCTGGGCTTAAAATATCCTTTTCTCTGCCTCTCAAGTAGCTGGGACTATAGGAACATTTCACTCCACCTAGCTCAGGCTAAATTTTTTCAAGGTCAAAGCTAATAGTAAATAGAGATCAATCTAGGATGTGAACTCTAAGGCTACACTTTTTTCTTTTCCTCTTCTTCCTTCCTCCATTACTCCCTCCCTCACTTCTCCCCTCCCTCCCTTCCCTCCTTCCCTCCTTCCTTGCCCTCCTCTCCTTCCCTCCCTCTCTTCCTCCTTCCTTTCTTCCTTTCTTCCTTCCCTCCTTCCCTCCCTCCCTTCCTCCTTCCTTCCTTCCTTTCTTCCTTCCCTCCTTCCTTTCCCTCCTTCCCTCCTTCCTTTCCCTCCTCTCCTTCTCTCCATCCCTTTCTCCTTTTTTCCTTCCTTTCTTCCTTCCCTCCTTCTCTCCCTCCCTTCCCTCCTTCCCTCCTTCCTTTCCCTCCTCTCCTTCCCTCCCTTCCTTCCTCCTTCCTTCCCTCCTTCCTTTCTTCCTTCCCTCCCTCCCTTCCTCCTTCCTTTCTTCTTTCCTTCCTTCCTCCCTTCCATCCTTCCTTCCTTCCTTCCTTCTTACCTTCCTTTCCTTCTTCCTTCCCTCCCTCTTTCCCTACTTCCTTTCTTCTTTTATGGTAGCACTGGGGATTGAACCCAGGGCTTTCCCACTGAACTACACCTCCAGTCTTTTTTTATGTTTTACTGTGAGATAGGATTTCAGTAAGATGCCCCAGCTGGACATGAGCTTGCAATCTTCTTGTCTCAGCTTCCCAAAGTCCACACAGGTGCCAGCACACCTGACTAAGCTAGACTTTCTTAGCCACCATGTTCTATTAAGTGCAGAAATTTTAAACAGATGAAATAAAAATACACACACAAGTTCTACTATTTTTGTGCTGCACCCAGGTAGATCTTACACATCCCAGACTGTACTTGGCTTTGGAGGCCACTGTTTGATACAGATGGTAAATCTGCCTGTGCATACACTTTGAAACATGTTCTTTTCATTTTCCTCCTTTATTCCTTCCCTTTCCCCCTCCTCTCTCCCTTATCTCATTCTTTCTTTTAGAAATGTGACTCGCAAGAGGAACCAAACTTGGTTGGGCTCTCAGAGCAGTGGAATGGGAGGGTAGGAGGGGAGTCAGATGCAGGACTCACTGTGCCAGAAGTGAGGCCAGACAGCCATACAGGGATGAGGTGTACATGTTCCCGTTGTGTGTAGAGAGGTAGAGGGAGGCCCTGGTCTTCTTGTTAAACATTTCTAGAGAGGCTTTCAGCAGGGCTTTGTCCACATCCTTGTTGGTATAGGTTTCTTCCAGCTTTAGGTTCCTGTGAGGCAGCCAGAAGTGGCCAGGTGGGAAGGAAGGGAACAAGGGGGAAAGGAACAGCTTCTGAAGACAAGGCTTTGGGACACATATTTTCAGTATTTATTTAATCTTTTGGGTTTTTTTGGAAAAGGGTCTCACTATGTAGTGCTGACTGGCCTTGAACTCACTATGTAGCTCGGACTGGCCATCAACTCAGCAGTCCTCCTTCTTTGGCCTCCCAAGTGCTGGGATTACAGGCATGTGCCACAATACCTGGACTACAATATTTTTGGTTTTGGTAAAATATTTTTATATTCTAAAAAAATCAAAATTTCATAATCAAATAATAAGACAATAGCACTAGTTATTACACTGTATCTTTATCTTCAAAGTAGTTACTTCAAGTACAAAACATAAACTAAAAAGTTCTGACAAAAAAGAAACAAATACATAATAATACAATTCTTTCTTTTCAATGAACTAAGGTAAACTAGTAACATAAATAAAACCAGTTAGCATATATATTGAAATATTTTAAATCGATGGAATTTGTAGTTTGGGGATATATTTAGATTTTTTCCTATTTCCTAATTATCTCTCTTTTATTTTTATCCTTCATTTGCATGTTTCCTATAAGAGAAATCATGCATTATTTGAGCTCATGTGTCTGACTTGTTTATTATGCTCTCGAGTCTACAAACCTTCAAGTGTATCTTTCTTTATGGCAGTATAATATTCCATTGTGTATAAATAACACGTTTTCTTTACTCATTCATCTGTTGATGGTCATATACCCTGTTTCTAAGACCTAGCTATTATAAATTGTACTGCTATAAACATGGGTGTGCATGTATCCCTGTAATATGATGATTTTAATTTTTTAAGGAAGATACCTACAAGCTGGATAACTGGGTCAAATGGAATTCCTATTTTTAGTTTTTTTTAGTGAATTTCCACACTGATTTCCATAATAGTTTCCTAGTTTACATTCCTACCAACAGCATGGAAGGGCTTCTTTCCCCACATCCTCGCCAACATTATTATTAGTAGTATCTCAGTGTAGTTTTATTTTTCATTTCTCTGATGACCAATGATATTGAGAATTTTTCATGTATTTATTTGGCCTATAATATTTAAAAATACAGAAATGCACAGAGAAAAACATGCCATCAATTGTCCTGCCATTCAGAGATAACAGGCTCTATGTTCCTTGTGGAACCCATACCTACACAGTCTATTAGCAAATCAGAAATAAAGTCACACTAGGCATTCTCTTTAACATATCTTCCCCAGCCTTTGGTTTAAAGCAGGATCTCATCACCTACCCCTGACCAGCCTCTAACTCATAATCCTACCTCAGCTTCCCAAGTGCTGGGATTACATGGGTGAACCAGCACACCAGGTTTAGCATGCTTTCTTAACTCAGACTATGTATACCTAGCAAACACTCATAAGGTTTATTCACTTATTTTATATGTATTTCTCTAAATATCCTCTCCATGTAGAAAGATAAGGGAAGGAAATATCTCCAAAACAGCCTTGTGTTGTATCATTTTTCTCAATTTTCCAAAGAAACAGAATCATATATAATATACATAACACATTATATATTATATATCCATGATATTATTTAATAATAACTCTTATGAATATTCTGTTGTTTGGAGCTGAGGATTGAACTTAGGGCATTATTCACGCTAATCACACTAAACCACACCCCAAACCCTTATAACATTATTTTTAAAGGTTGCAAGATGATTCATAATAAGATGTATCATATTTTTACCAATCCCTCTACTTCTGTTCATCACTAGTTAAAATATTATAGTGAAGAGTTAAGTGTTCTTTCAAACACGTGAAATTAATAAACCAAAATATATGCCCATCTTTAAGGCTTTTGCTTCACGTTCCCATTGCTCCTCAAAATATTTGTATCAATTTACACATTCACTATTGCCCTTTTCCCCATAGCCTCATCAGTTCTAGGCATTCAAAACTTTAAAAAATAAGAAAGAACAATGATAACTTGCTTACTTTTTTAACTAATGAGTTTGCACATTTTCATTTGAGATATATACTTTCCTTCTTTGAGGTATTTAGTTATTAGTGATAAGCTCCTGTTTATTCAAGACATTGGCTATTATCTCTTGTATAGTTATACCTTTTCTGTTGATGGGGGTGTCTTATAAGCAGAGTTTGTGCTAACTTTCATGTGCTAGTCTCAGGATTAGTAGTAGTAATTAGTGGTAGAGGAAGATAAGATGTTAGTACTCCAAAATTTGAAATAAACAGATAACAAGAAGAATAGGAAAGATTTCCTTCTCCATGAGAACTCTATATTCTTTCTAAATATCTTGGAGCAGTATACCAACAAACAGCCTCCTCACTGTTTGATGTGTCTGAAGATGAGCAACATTATGTTCATTTTACAGATAGGATAAATTGAGGCTCCCAAACATTAAGGAAAAGACAGGTGAGAATGTGAACCAGTGCTCACCAAGTAGCTACTCTGTACTGCATTTGCTTCTGTGTGTCTGTGTCTGTGTAGACTGTGAGATCTTCTAGGCCAGGATCGCAGGGTACATATATTTCAGTACACCATGAGTTTATAGTATGATTCTCTCTTGCTTTTTATACTTACTTGACCCAGAGGTGCAGGTAAACTCCCTCTCATGCTCCTCTGGGAGGACACATGGAAGGCCCCGTACAGATTGGGCCCATCTCACTCCTCCATATCAGGACTGGCATCTTTCAGTTGAATTGGGGGGTTACTTGCTCTGCACAGGAGTGCTGGTAATCCAGACTCAGGGTGTAAGTTGCTTCCTTGTTTACCCCTCAAGAGTCTCAAGGCTCCACATAAAGAGGACTTACCTGAAGGCCTCCAGTCCCTTATATGAGGTATTCTGTGTGTCATTGCTGGATGACAGGAAGTCGCTGAGCATCAGGCGAGCCAGAGATTTCTGAACCATCTTGCAAAAGGGTGTGTGAAAGATCATATACTGTATATCATCAAGCGTGAAAGGCCGATCGATGCCATCTGGAAAGGAAGTGTGAAGGCAAGGAGGTGGCATGATGGTAAACCACACTGACCTACCCTCTGAGTTTTAAGCATGCCAAGGGACCCTAGGCCTCTCAGAGAACTAGTTCCTACCTCCAGCAAATACACGTAAGGGTTGCGCATTCATCATTCATGAGTTTACTGAGTATCATCTATGTACAGGAAAAGAAACACCTGTGTATCTATTACTGCCAACTTCTATGAGAGATATCATGTCTGTTATGGTTCATATCTGGATGTCTCCCCAAGTCTCATGTGATCTCAGGTAGGGGTTTGGGAGGTGACTGGATTATGGGAGTCTATAACTAATTGTGTTGTTAGGAGATGAAGCCTAATCGGCTGAGGTGGTCACTGGGGAGCATCACCTGGAAGGGCTTATCTCCTTCCGCAGCTCTGTCTTTCATTCTGTGCTTACCAATCACCGTGAGCTGAGCAGCTTTTCCTCTACCATGCTCCTCTGCATACCTTCATGCCCAGGAGCCAGTGGACTATGTGCTGATACCTCTACAAATTATATACCTTTTCTCCAAAAACATACCTTTCCTCCTTTATGGGTGTTCGGTATTGTGTCCCAGCAACAAGAAAGTGACTAAGACAATCTCCAAATTAACCTTGTGCTGTATCACTTTCTCATTTTTCCAGAGAAGAAATAGAGTCTCCAAAATATTGAATTGAGTCAGATATTCAGGGTCATGTAATTTAAAAAACTTTAAGGTGTGCCTGTACCCTGCAGTCTGCCTCTTACTTTGAGGAGGAAGGTAATTAAACTTCTGTCCTTAGGAAAGTTTATAATTTAGTGCTGTTACTCAAAGAAGCATCCATACAGACTCTGTAAGCAAGTAAGAAGCAAACTTCAAATGGCGGGAGAATTCAGAAGAGATGAGAGTGGTGGGCCAATAGCAAATTTACAGTGAATGAGCAGAGGCAGAGAGTCCTGAGCTGACTCCTCAGCAATTTGGGTCAGCTCTGGCAGGCCCTGCCCCACCCACGACAGTTGAAAAAGGCCACTCCAGAGTTCCCACAATCTGATGCTCCAGCACATGTCCTTTCTCACAACCAAATTCTGCCTTTTGCTGATGCCCATCTAAACCAAAATGGCTAACCTGGTAGGGATATTTTAAATGGCATTTCTGTGTATTATAAAAATAATATTTTTTTCTTTTTTCTGGTTATGAAAGTGGCATCTATTTTGTAACAAGGGAATTCAGAAACTAAATGTGAAAATAAGATCAAACTCTAACACCACTAGCTAGAGAAAATTATATACTTCAGTATTCAGAAAACATACATAAGACTCTCAATATCGGTCAAAAAACCCAAGAGTCAAACTGTGCCTGACTTAAACAGAAACAAGTACAACCTCAGTGAGATGTGATCACTCTGCCTCAAAAGAGTGCCGCCCCAGGTAGGGACACCTACAAGTTTCACACTGGTGGCTTTGACCCTGCATTGTTAATTTATTTATTTAACTCATATTATAGGCAATTTTATACTTGAATTTAAATGAAATTGAAATAGATTTTAGCATCAACCTAGGGAAGAGTATGACAAAGGGATAGGAAATAATTTTCTTGATATCATTTTCAAAGAAGTAGAAATACATCATTTCTTAATCTTGTGGCCATGTAAATAGAGCCCCACCATTTGCCCTCCAAATCCTATACCTTGCTTCCATTGATTCTGGATTTTTCGGCGGTATGATGCATAGCATCTGTCCAAGGCCCTTAAGTAACACTGGATGGAGAGCTTGCCATCCACCAAAGGGTACTCTGAAGCCAAATTTGGTTTGTAGAAGTCATAGGCATTCTCCATGTGGGTTCCTCTAAGTCCTGGAAAAGCACACAGAGGGTATCAGGGACACTAGAATGCAACTTCCTTACAGCAGAAGGGCTGGGAGAGCTAGGTAAAGGGCTTCTGGTTTTTGCCTGTCTCCTATACCCAAACCAGAGCCTACTCCTCACTTCTCACCTATTTGAAAGAACTCAATATATTGTTAGGATTACCTAACTGCAGCTTATACTTCCCTTTCCACACTTGTAGGGGTTTAGCAAAATCTGGAATAGAAGCAGAAATTTTCAAGAGAAAGATTAACTTTATACTAGGTTTATTTCAGCTTCAATTGCCAGTTTATTTCCCTTAGTTTCCTCTTTGTATCTGTACTACTTATTGCATGTAGAATCATTCCAATAAGGAACCCTCACTAAATCCCTCTCTCCTCCTGACCTACCCTCTGCTCAACAGGACACACTTTAGGAGGCAAATGATAGCATCCTCAAATCCAGACTATGCTGTTTGGTACACTATGCTGCTTGGTTTGGTTTGGTTTGGTTTGGTTTGGTTTGGTTGGGTTGGGTTGGGTTGGGTTTTGAGACAGGTTTTGGTAAGTATTCCAGGCTGGACTAGAACTCACTGTGTAGTGCAGGGTGGCCTGGATACATGACAATCTTCCTGCCTCAGCTACCCAAGTGCTGGGACTACAACTGTGTACCACTGAACCTGGTTTGGTTTGTTTGCTTGTTTGTTTGTTTAGTAGGCAACTTGGGATTCAGATCTATATGTCTGGTTATGCTGTGCACACCCTTTTGATGGTGGTTTACTACAAACCTTGCTCCAGGGCTAATGGGGCGTTAGGCCCAATCAGCATGGCCACAGCTCCAGCACCACCCGTGGGGCGTGCATTACCATTGGGGTACACTGCAATGTCTCCACAGACTACCAGTGCATAGCGACCTGCAAAGACAGACAGGAAATCATTGTCCTCACTGCCAAATCTAGAGAGGCACAATTTTAGTACTGGGAGTAGAGTGGTGAATGAAATAAATAATCCTAGTCCTGTGCAGCTTGCACTCTAGTGATACTCAAACGAATTTGAAATGTGAAGTATCCTCACATTCCCAGTTATACAATATTCATTTACTCTGAATTTAATTTCCAAATTCAATAAAAACTTGTTAGTTGGAACTTGTTTTTGCTGATCACCTTGTAGCACTCCATGATCTGGAATAACTTCCAAACAAAGGAAGGTGGAGGAATAAGGAGGGAAACATTTAAAATAGGAGCCAGATGCTATTTGTCCACAGACAATTCTTAAAACAGTGCTATGCGTAGCACACATCTACATTCATGGATGCATGAAAAAAGAATGATGTAAATATTATATGTGGTGGTACAGGATGATCTCTAAGTGATCAGAGATGAAGAATTATATGTACAGAGCTTAAAATTAAATAGATACGTGTACACTTGGAGGCACATGGATACTGTTAATGTTAATACTAGGAAGGGGTAACGGGGTGTGAAAGGGAGACTTTTTCTTCATTTTACATCATTTACTGTATGTATATGTTTTTATTCCTAACTATAAACTTCAACAACTTTCATTTTTAAAAAGACAATAAAACATGGAGGCTTTCGGTCAGTCCCATACCTTCCTTTCCTCACACTGTGCCATCTTCTCTGAGATGAATCAGAGCTCCCAGTGATTTCCTCTACCTGAGGGCCCCAGATGGATACTGACTAGGTTAGAAGCAGAGATCTCATCCACACTAGCTTCTTCTGCTCTGTAGGTGTGTAGTTTAGGTGCTCAGGCTCAAGCTTATGTATGTTTTGTTTTACTTTACACAATAAAAAGCCCACATTTTAATAATTTGTTTTTTTTTTATTTTAGACCAAGAACCAAGCACACAGAAAGCATGTCATGTGAAGAAACATATTAATTTACAGGCTTTGTCTTTTGGAATATACAGCTACTCACAGAATCTACTCTTTTAAAGCAACATACTTACAACTAACACTGATCCCAAGAACAGGCTCTCTGGCGTCTGGTTAAGGCTGGTAGATGTCCCTTGACCTTCATTTCTACTCTAACTAAACATTTGGTTGAACAAATTGGTAGTGGTATTAGTGATGGGGATTACTAAAAATAATACAAATGCCAAGTAGGAGAAGCACTATAAAGACAGATTTGATGACACTGAGACTGGAACATCCCAAATTAAAGGGATCACTTAACAGTGAAAACTATGTAAAGCAATTAAGCCCAGGTTTTCTGGTCCCAGAGGCTGAACACTAAACCACCACACCAGGGACAGCCCCATGTATAAGACAAATTAGAACAATGAATGAGTTTATAGAGCTCACTGTCTAGCTGTGTGTCCAGAGATAAACTATTAGAGATCTCTTGGCCTCTTTTTAAAACAAATATTATATTAGGAAATCTCTAAGGTCTCTGCAACATTGAACTTTATGATTAATTTTATAAGTAATGTTTACTATGGTTTCCATGCTTTTCAGCCCTAGGTACCTCCCACCCTGCCCTGTATTGAGGATAGAACCCAGGAGAACTCTATCACTGAGATACCTTCTTAGCCCTTTTTAATTTTTATTTTGAGATAGGGTCTCATTAAGTTTCCCAGGTTTGGTTCAAATTTGCCACCTTCCTTCTAAATCTCCGAGGTAGCTGAGATTAAATATGTGCACTTAGAATTGAATTTAGTAAATGTAGCATTCATCAACATCCATATTACTATCTTTTATATCCTATGGATTATTTTATTTAATCATTTTGACAGCCCCATGGAACAGAAAGACAAAATCCTGGTAAACTGAAAAGCAAAACTTTTAGGACTCAGCCTCTGACCCAAGCTCCTTTCTTGCATAATGTCCCTGGCAGCACGTACCATCCCAGTAGCTGGACTCCATCCAGTTGGCAGCATTGAAGAGGGAGGCAGTGCCACCATAGCACGCATTGGTGGTATCTATTCCCTCAATATCAGTGTTGCCTGAATCCTGGAAGAGTTCCATGAGCACTGTTTTGACAGCTTTGGATTTGTCGATGATGGTCTCAGTGCCCACTTCCAGTCGACCCACAGAGTCCCATGGGAGCTGTGTGCGCTCCATCAGTCGTTGCACTACAGTCAGGCACAGGGAGTTGATGTCCTCCTGCACTGAGCAGAAGCCCATTTGGGTCTGCCCCAAGCCCACTGTATACTTCCCTGCTTCCACATTGTTGTACTTCTCCAGGTCAGTTTGGTCGACATATTGGGCTGGGAAGTAGACCTCCAGTTCAAGGATGCCCACATCTTTTGGCCAAGTATCTGTTTTGGCCAGGGGGGCAGCAGAGACCATAGAAAACCTGTGATAATGAGAACAATCATAATCTTATTAATTGTCTGTAGTTAGTTTCCTCAAAAAAGAGTAATGCTGCAATCATTGAATTGATGTTTTAATATATTTTGAAGCTATGTTCTGACATGAATAAAAATTTAGCATTGTTATATCTTTCAGTTGAATTGTATCCTTCCATCCTTATATTCCTATCATAAAGTCTGGTTTTCCTTTTCTTTTTTTTTTTTTTTTTTTGCCAGGAATTGAACTCACAACCTCATGCTGGCCTGGCAGGTTCTTGTGCCACTGAGCTACATCCCCAGCCTTTCTTTTCCCTTAGCTACACAGAGTTTGTTGTTGTGTTGTCACTGAATGTATGGTAATCCTGTCCTTTTATGCTTTCAACTTACCAGAGTCTTTTTTATTTTTGTCCTTTTATGCTCTCAGCCTCTCAGTCATTATACAACATGTGATTCTTGTAAACTGAATATAGTTGAGTCATTTAATAAAAGTCTTTAACAAGTTTTACAAGTGTTTCAATTGAATAATCCATTTATATTTTTTGTAATTATGCATACTTTTTTATTTTAAAAATAAAAGGAGGAAAACATTAACAGACTTTTACAAAATAGCAAAAGAACAGTACAGACAATACAGAGTTACAAACAAAGTGGTAGGAAATTAACAATGCTTGTTGTATTACATATTG